GGGCAAGAACTAGCATCTGTGGACTTGCAAAAGTACTATTACCAGCCTTGTGGGAATGCTGTGTTGACGGCAGACACTATTGGGGTGTTCAGTTCTCCCAGTGTAGCCACTGACAGTGTAAACTTATAATACAGTTGCAGTATTTGCAAGGAGTGTTTGGGAAAGGATTGTGTCCACCAACTTGCCTTAACAAGAGTGGAAGTTCCCTACAAGCCATTGCTAGCCAAGAAATGCTTCCAGACAGTCTGATTGGAAATGCGTTTTTTCCAATTCACATGTACACTGTACTGTACATCTATGATCTCTGTACTGTAGCGGTACCGGTAGGCCTGCATGTACAGTGTATATGTACATGAGGCATAAATCAATATTATTTTCAATGGGCTATAGATGTGTACAAGTACATGTACCGGGTACATGTATGTACATGTACATGTATGTGTACGTGTACATGTACTTTACAATCGTTTACATACTGGGACACAATGCATTGCATGGTACTTTACCGGGTACCTGCATCTTTCAGCAAGTTCACACTGGATTGCCTGACCTATAGCTGTACATGTACAGTACATGCATACATGTACATGTAAGTAGTGCATGTACCGGTACATGTACATTATTAGCACGGACCCTAGTGATTAAAGCCACCTACATGTACAGCCACCGTTTCACCCAGGTCAGAATACAGATTGGATCAAATGCATATTGGATCAAACACAGGTCTTCAAAGCGTGTCATACTAATCACTGGGGTTTTTTTTGGTAGATTTACCGTAATCTTTTAATTTTTGTGCTTTTGATATACATGGATACCAGGTACACTGTACAGTATGTACATCTTTAGAACTTCAACTTTCTTTGGTACTCGTATATACTGGTAGCTCTACCGTACATGTACGCGGTACATGTAGACTGGCATACCGGCACTGGTACATGTGCCTATACACTAGTACTGGTATGGTGGAGAAGCGTGGAGGGGTATCAAATGTATGAACCCCAAATGTACTGTATGCTAGATTTTTGGCTGGTGTGCTTTGCGAGAAACAAACTCTTTCACAGAGTGCGATGAGACTTTAGCACAGAGCTTTTGGACTGTATGTCTACATGTATCGTACATGTACTTGTATAAGATCCACACTGTACCGTACGTAGACATGTTCAGTGTGTAAAGTTTTTGCCGTTACTTAGTGCTATTGTGATACACCATCCAAGGACTATTGAGAGCAAGGCGGTTTAATCGTGTTCCATGAAATTTTTACAGTCGCTTCAAAGTGATTTGATTTTGCCGTGTCTTTTCATCGCTTGTCAATCATGAAAACCTGAAGGTGTGTACTGAAGTGAGCTCTGCCGAAGTGCAATTAATCTTGAGAGATTTGATGGCAGGATAGACAGGAAGGTCGCGCTTTTCTCAGTATGACTATGGAATATCTGTCAGCTCTGGAGTTTTGCCTTCGGTAACAGTGGGATATGGCCACTTCCCACCACTTCTGGTGCCTCCGGCAAGGCCCAAACAACACTGTTGTCGCTGTTCCGCTTTGTTTGATTTCTCACCATATCAATTGTTTGCTCTGTGGTGCAGCCCTTTGGAGGGTTTTTTTCTTGTGTGTGTGTGAAAGTTGGTTATTGTAAAGATGACTCAACACTTTGCTGGATGCATACTGATTGTACCTTTATGTAGCCCTACATTTTATGTCCAAATACAACTTTACCTTAGTTTGGTCACAGTGGTGGGGGGTGTTTGCCAAATGTGATCAGCTGCACAGGATGTGAACAGATCACTCGAGTACATGTATGATCTCAGTCACTGTACTTGTGTTTGCTGAAGAGTTTACTATCCCAATGACGATGCATCAGGTGACTCGTTTCATGTTGTGAGAGGTTTCTCTAAACCAGGGCATTTCAATTAAAAAAAACACCTATTAGCTACACTGTAGTCCAATTCTTGTCATTTTTATAAGCTGCATATTGGTTGAGATTGATGCTCCACAACAGAGAGAAGGAAATTTACATGAACAGTTTCTCATCTCATTCGTGAAAGACGTCAACCCTTGGAGAAATGACAATGACACGTATACGTACTGTACATGCACATTCATTACACTTTCATCATACATGTACTTGTACATGTATGCACAGGTATCAGTTATGCACGGTGTAAAGCATAAACAATACAACATGCCGGTATGCTGCAAGGAGTGATACATGTACATGTATACAACACGTACAGTGTCCATGGGGGGGGGTGATGGCACACAAATGTAGGTATAAGGGCAGCACCCATGGGCAACTTTGATCAAGGACTATAGTTAACCGTACATGTAGTACGACTGTCTCTCATCGAACTCATGTTAGTCAATGATAGTTGGACTAGTCTAGTCAGCTGTTCGCGACCAGCCTACCGAGGTTGGTCGTGTCGTTGGTTGCCATAAACCGTTTGTAATGGCAGAGTGCAGGGAGGACCAGTTATAAAAATGCTGGAAAAACAGTATGCCGCTAGTAAATGACCATTTTCACTTGTGTTTTTGCTATTTTGCCCTTCCTGGGGCCACCTTTTCTCCCCTTTGGCCTAATGACCTGACAACGTCACTGAACGTGTGCTAGGTACATTTACCAGTATGTCACGAACCAACCACTAGTGATGGAACTTTTCTCGTAATTAAAATTTGGCACATACTGTATTTGAGTTTTATCTGTATACCCAGGTAGGGTAGGCTGCCTATCCGCTAACCAGCTTTGTATTCTAGCTTAATTCAAGCCAACCTTGTTTAATTTGAGACACTGTAATGTTTAATTGCAGCCAGTGAGTGAACTCTGAGGCTATTGTTAGTGTGGCATATGGATCTTGTGGTCAGGAAACCATCTTGTTAAGTGTCCAGTTATATTTTGATACTGTTTGAACAAGGCCATTGGCCTCTATACACCATCCAAAACATCCCCTTTAATACACCCTGCACTTCATGTACTTTATATACCTGTAGGTCATTTTTGCCACTCAAACCTGTACCAAGTACTGGCATTGTATAGAGAGGAGAAAGGTGGTCTCATCTCAAGGCGTCAGTGATGATGCACTGCTGGGGTGCTTACAATTTTTATGGCTGGTTTACTTGCATCTTGAACAGAGACCAGTATCATACTGTAATATACATGTACATCTACATATTAATCACATTTATGTACATGTATGTAGTACATACTGTGTACATATACCGTAACTCACAGGTGTACCAGTACAAGTGATGTCCTCTGGTCTATGTTTTATGGCAGACTTACAAGTTTTGTTCAAATAAACTCAGGACATTGCTTATCTGAAGTCAAACATTAGTATCTGTGTTTGCAGACTCTGGTGTTGGTAGATTTCAAAATTGGAATAAGTTCACTTTAATACCCACTTTGTTGTGGGGCACGCTTGAGTTGTGCTATGGTACTTCAAATACAATTTTACAATGTGGATAGTGTATTGGGTCACACACCTGTACTATACAAACCATACATAGTCGAATCGGATGTTGTAAAATAATAAAGTCAAATTTTCAAAGAGTCACATTTGACATTTGTTAAAGGACCTACACAATGAATTTTTCTCACAGTCGCTTAAAAAAATAAACTGCTTAAACTTAGTGCCTGCACAGATTACGTCAGAGTTTTACTCATGCACAAAAAGGCTCCAAGTCCAAAATACAGATTTTAAAAAACCGTAGCAAAGCAAAACCCTAACATGCATGTAAGCTGAAGTGAAAGGTGGAGTTTCAAGGGTGTTTGGTAAAATAATTCTGCTACACGGCCCCTTAATTTTCATTGATACCATTGACTAGTGTGAGGGTTTGAAGTGTACCATGTACTCGTACATTTACCAGTACAAAATCAGAATGATGCGCGCCTCAAGCAAGTCATGTGCAAGTAAATCACTGGACATGTGTCCCAAGCTTGTACCCGCCCTCAACAGACAACCGACATTGATAAAAGTAGGCCAATGAATTCCCATCTCAATGTGTCCTGCATTAGTCAGGCTCACTGAGCAATTACCGATCGGCAAGAAACAAGAGTTGGCCACTGTGCGGTAACCCTGAACATGTGTTTTACCAAAAAGGAAAAAAAAAAGCAGTGCGGAACTGGAGATATACCCCCTGGTACATCAAGAAACGATAATGCCTGTTACGGACGCGCACCCACAGACATTTTATGTAATAATCTGTAATTTGGGAGAGGGGAGAAGAGTGAAGAAAGAAAAAAAAATTATGTCCGCCTGTCCCCTGCCCATGACTCTCTGGTGAGTCCAGCCAATTTAGAGGTGACTTTTTGGGGGCAATTTGACAGCCCTGCTCTGTGCTGCCCCCTGGCTACAAAGCTGTTTGTAGACTCTACCTTCAGATGACCTGTCGTCTGGTTGAAAGCATAGAGCATACATAGGACTGAAGTATTTCTGCAGGTTTAACAGAGGAGTGTACTTGGGGGAAAAAAAAAATTAAAGCATGTGGGAGTTGGCCCTTTTATTCCAGAAAAATTGTTTCAGTAATTGCCTGACAAAGGTCTAAGCCACTGGGACTACTTTCATGCACGTGTATTCACATTGACGTTCATGCTGCTGGGTATTTTAATCAACTTGCTGTTTTTCGTATTTCCACCATGATCTGAATTTATTTTGAAGGGGTTGGTTCGCATTACTGATTAGTCACCAAGTGGCAAGGGGTTTGTATGTTACCAGTGTCTGGCTTTGCTACATGTACGTAAATGTACTGTACAGTACATTGTAGGCCTACAGGGTCCTCGGGCAAGCACTTTAGTCCTCACCCACATCACCTCCCAGAAATGGACACCAGGAGAGTTTGGATGGGTAGAGCCAGCACAGGAGACTCTACAATGTAGGCAGCTTTTAAACCTCTAATGGACAGACTCTCCACTCAGATTTGGACACACCTGCTGATATAAGGTGACTCATTGTTTTCCATCTCTAGAACCCTTGTCTCAAGTCTGAACACTGTTTCTGTTCCTCTTTTCTAGCTGTGTCCACCCTGAGCGACTTCAAGAGCTTGACAGACCACTATCGCTACCGTTCCTCAGTCCAGGAAAACCTCATCACCCAGGCCTCCCGACCGCAGTGCATTGAGCTGCAGTACCGTAAAGCCAGCACAGACCTCAAGGTAGGCACAAAGGCCGAGTCATACTGGCAGTGGAGCCTACCGCAGGTCTACTGCAAGGTTTCATCTCGGACCAGATCAAAAGTCCATCACAAGTCAAATCACAAGTCATTCCACAGGTAACTGGGGATGAACAGAGAGAAAGGGAAGCCGGTGTTACACGTCACTTGGCTCTTGTGCTTGAATCGCTTGAGATTTCCCCTCTGATGGGGAGACTTGTGACTGGCTGGTGATGGATTTGGGGGGGACTCGTCCTGAACAGCAGTTGAGGGAAGCCAGATGGACCATGTATATGTCCAACCGCAGTATTGTTTGGAATGCCTACTGACTCCTTTGAGGCAGTGTGTTGCAATTTTAATGGTTCAAAGGTCCATTGAATCGTTATATCACGACAGAATTGTGGGTAGTCAAAGGTTGATATTGAGTGCCCCCCCTCAGTTTTTAAGTGAAGTACGAGCATCACAAAAAACGTAACATTTATGTACCGGGTACATCAACTCTGTTCTTCATCCTGTAGTCTAAACAGCACATTTTATGGGGCATTATCATCTTTTTGTATTTTGGTATGTCACTGCCTTTTCTTGCCCGCTGTCCCTCTTTCCCCAGGACATCTTTGAGAAGTTGAAGGAATACCATGAAGACACGGTCACGGTATCCAACCTTTGCCAGAGTATCTCCCTCTCTAGGCTCAACTGCGACACAGACTCATCTGAGTACGACATTGAGTTTCCCAGAGTGAGTACCTGTGCACCAGTATCCGTTTGCACCGACCACCAACTTTTGCCTCAAGGGGTCATTTCCTGGTTGTGGGCTGCACTAATAACTTTGGATGAATCTTTATGACTGTTATTCGGATGGACACCCAAACTCTTCTTTTGGGGTTCATTTTTTAAGACCGCTTAACACAAACAATGTGTCTCTTCACCTAAACAAAACAACCCCCCCCCCGACTAGTTACACACAGACAGACGCATGTACCAGGTCCCATCCGTTTGTGTCTTTTGTGGGTGAAAGGTTAACTAACGCACATGTATATCTTCTGTAGTAGTAGATTTCTTAAAGATACAATGTGAAAGTTTCCTGCATATTCCGGCGTTTGGATCCACTGTTGTGTCTGTTAGTCGTATTATACTAAAGATAGTCAGCTGAGAATTTTGGAATAATAGAGAAATGCAAACTCTGTTTACATGGTGCTGTACTTTAATAGGTGTCTCCAGGATAGCTTCAAGTACATGTACTTAGTGAAACGCCCGCATACTTTGAAAAAATTGTTTGTGGTTTATGATCCGCAAATCAAACACCATTAAAAGCAATGTGTGCACTTTTCCACTGCTTGCATTCTCAGTTCAAATGGTTAGGGCATGTACTGGCACACGACATGTATTAGCCTCCAAAGAAAATATACCAATTTGCGGGATTTTCATTTTTTTAAGCAGCATTGGAGAAAACCACTTAGAAATTATGTAAGCAAGATGGTATCATTTCAGATCGAGTCAAATCTGTAATAAGTTACATCAGTGAAAGAAAGAACCGGTACAGGGAACCTATTTTAATGGGGGAAAAAACAATCGAAATCAAAATCCAGGTGAACCGATAAACAAATCTGGCCCAAATGAAAGTAGCTCACTCAGCCAACCTTCTCAGGTCAAACGCACTGGACAGCAATTATATCCAAATATTTCAAGGCCGGTTTGAGGCTTATTAAAAGCCATTTTTTCCCCCACTGGTTCATTTCCCATACCAAGGATGTGGCAGAGAATGTTTATTTTTTTGTATCGCATGCTCAGAATGCCTCAGATAGGACATCTCAATGCATTGCGGCAACATCTCCACACAGTTCGCTACAGTCTCTGCAGTGACAGTTAGGAGTCGTTTATGTTGCATCTGCCTTTGTCCGTTCACAGCTTTGTTTATCATCACTCTTACATTCCATAAACAATTTTGCACATCCGAAGAATTTTCCCGCCATGAAATGCAGGTTTTTACATCTGCGTGTGCTACTGTACCGGTAGATTATGGCATTAATGAACATACCTTGCATGTGCATGTGAATGTACATGCATTGGTATATGTCCAATGTATGTACATATACCGGGTACATCCATTGGACATGTACATTGTGCTCGTACCACAAAGCCATACTACATGAACATGTAAAGGCGCCTTCCCATATGTTCATTTTTGGGGTATGTTGCATACACGATGCATTCGTGCGTTTCACTTTCACAGACATAAAAATTGATTCCGTTGTTAATGCACGTAACACACGTGTGCATTGCGTTCGGTCATCAAAATCACCCTGGGAACGATTCTGACAGATACGCAACGCTTGGCGCCAGTGTCAGCGCACATTTATGGAAAGGCACCTTAAAGCTGCTAACAGTGCTAGGAAAGCTTCGGGATTTCTGCATACCGGTACATGATGTATTATATGGTACTGATAGCTGAGCACAGTACATAACCCAAAAATGCCAGATGCACTCTGTAGAAAATTCATTTCCCAAGTTCGATTAAAGACTCATTCTTCAGATCGAATCGTTCCACCAAAAACACTGTGTCAAAGCTCTAGTACAAACATGCACAGTTAACATGTAATACATAATTGATGGGCACAGTATAGAAACTTGAGGCGCCAATCCCCACAACCTGCAGTGTTGGGGGAAAAAAAACCTGCAGAACTATTTCAGAATGTGCCAACAGAAAGTGTTGAACTTTACCTCCACAGCATAATGACCCACAGATTCCATGCCGAGGAGGGACTGACAGTACTGATAAATTGCTTAGTGGGGTAGGTTGAGCCAGGAATCTTTGCCAGTGTTTGCACAGCGTTAATGTTTAACCAATCGGTCTTTGGCAATATGGGTTATGCAAAGCCCCAGAAGAAAGCAACCTGTGCATGCCGGTTCTGTTTCGATACTGGGAATCCGGCAACCGGTGACGCCATCGCTTGTTCGATGGAGGAGGAAATGATTGTGGCCAGCCCACACATCAGTGCCACTCAGATCCGCCTTGGCTCATGGAGAATAGACTACAGAATGTGAAGCAAACATAGAGGGTGGAAGGTCAAGTTCATGGGGCATTTTCCAAACAGGCAAAATGGTCTAACCCAAAAATTTCAAAGTGCAGTAGTTAAATTGGGGGTCATCCAAATGTATACATGTACATGTATGCATACCAAAAAATAAAAAAGAAAAGAATTTAAACTGTGTTGAATATAACATGTACATGTAAGTTTGAATTATGTATCTCACACAAAATCTCGAGCCTATCTGCTCCGAGGGGAACAAAAGAGGGCATTTTTTTTTTACTCTCAGCATAGGTGTGCCATGAAGTACATGTATACATGTATGTGTGTTTGACGCGGAGCACGCTGAGTACACGTACCGTAACTAATTTATTCCGGCATGTATGGTCTTTGCGTACCCGCAGAACGCCTAGCAAGAACCCACTTGTAACCACCTGTCTTTCTTTTCACTGATCTGGGGGTGCACTTCAGCTCAGGGCAGATTGCAGTTAAATGCATTGTACATGTAAACTTACAGTGTAGTACAGTTTCACATTTTGTACATGAACGACTGGTAGTACATTTATGTACAAAGCAGCTTTTTAAAAAAGAAAATAGTTCCGTCCTGAATTTTGACATGTTTAATCTCCCGTGTTACCATTGCCTTCTCATCCTGACACCATTGACCAGAACTGACTTTTTAATAAAGAACCGAGATTATCATCTTGAAAACTCATCACCCTGCTTGTTTCCCCAAGGTTAGTCCTTAGTAGAAAACCCATCCATCCTGGCCACACATGTTATTGCTTTGGTGTATTGCAAACCCGCATGTGGAAAAATTGATATACATGTGTACACCTTACATGTAGGAATGCAGTTTTGGGGAATGGGATACCAGTACATGTACATGTATGTACGTGTAGGCCCATATGATTCCACAGGTTTTAGTACTAGTAGAAACTCAACAAAATGTATCTGTTACAATCCACGGCTTACATGAATTGATTTTTTTTCCAGAGACACCTTTTATTTCTCTCTTGTCAACACAAACTCAATAGCAATGAATACAGTTATAAGAGATCATAATACATGAATTGATTTGTTCTGTGCCAATCTGCCCTTGTTTACAAGGTCAGTGTAATGATTAAAACTGTTCTGAGAAGGAAAAGGATTGTTGGCCAAAGGAACAGGGACAGTAAATATGTTGATGTTTGTGAGATATCTGTTCATGCATGGAGGTAGTTTTCCTACATGTACCTCCCTGGTTCCTGTAACTTGGTCTCTGTTTAAAAAAACATTCACAACCTGCCAGTGACTAACAAGGGGTTTTGTACTCAAAACTGCATCTGCCAGGCCCTACAAAAATAAAAACCATTTGTACCAGGGAGCCTCAGGGTTGTAAAGAGATCTGGAGGGTTGTCACTTCAAATTATGAAATGGTGGGTTGTGATAGGAATTCTACAGGTAGGCTGACGCTGCAGAGACTGTGTGTGTGTGACCCTAGGGGCTGAACCACTGTTTGTTGTAGCTGACGAGGCCGTTTACCCTGGGACCCAAAACCAAAACATGAGTGACATCAGACTGGAAATATCTGAAGTATTTGGTGTGGCAGTCCATAATCCCTTGTTATTCTAGCTACATGTGGAGACATTGCTCTAGACCCGTATACATTCCATGATTGCGGTTATGAGATTTGCGTTTGTGTATTTGTCAGAGGAAACGACAAGTTTCTCTTTTTTTTCTTCAGAACCATACATGTAAACAATAAGGATTTGCAAAATCCAATATTTTTTCATTGTCTCATGAGTGGTTTATGTAAGTTACATGTACATGTATTTATTCATGTATTCTCACATGTACTGTACATGCCTGTGTAGTGTTTTTTCCCGGGGGAGGTGAGGGACGTGTAAGAAGAGAGATTTGATAGGCTTGCTTTTCTTTAAAAAGTACATTTCTGTTGGGAATTGTCCAGGAAATTGACTTGTGACCAACAAATAAAAATGTTTGCTTGCTCAGACAGTGTTAGGTGAGTTTGGGCCTGTGCTGAATTGCTCTCCTGTTGTCCCATCCCTTACAAAGCCTGAAATTCAAGACAAAGTAGAAACACAATTAAGCAATCAAAACTAGAGCAACTGCTGCACTCTGCTCACTGAAAGGGGTGAGCTTTAAAATGAATGTTCCAAGCTTGGGCCTGTTTGATGATACATGTACATTTATGTCTCTCTCTCAAAGGTGTGAGTAAATTTGGCTGTTTGGAAAGATTCAAGCTGCAAGAATCTAATGGTTGGGCCCTCTGAATTTCAAAACTTAATCTGATACACGTTAAAAACACAAAGTTCAGTGGTCTCAGAGCCATGTGAATTTTTTTTTTGTGGGGGGGGGTGAGTGGAGCAAAAATGTCTTCCTGTCCCACTTCACTCTCCACCTTACTTGTAGATGTACATTTACCGGTACATATACATGTACATTCATGGGTGTTGCCAGGACTACATTTCAAGTGGAGCCTGGAGGGTGCGTGCGGCAAAGAACTCATCAGCTAAAGACTGATAAAGAGATGATAGTGGGAGGGAAACACTTTTCATTTTTTTTCCCCAAGCAAAATGGTGATTTTCAGTCCTTTTTTTTTGTCATTTCTGTTGCCTTCTCCCCTTTTTCAATATTTTTTTGAGGGGGGCACACCGCACGTTGTCCCTTGCTCCTTTGCATTTATCTTTTCCCTGCTTGACATCCAGGCCTACGGTACTTGTGCCACCTTAGCCTTTCAGAATCGTAGAGGATATAATGATCTGTATCTTGAATGATATCCTTTAAGACGGGGATTAACCTTTGGTTCTTGTCCCTTTCAGCACCCAATTGGGCAGGCACTTCCCCAGTGTGAGTTTTATAAGTGTAGCCTGCCTTCTCCAGATCTCTTTTTAAGGCCCAGTCTAGACAGTGAAATTCAGATCCACTTATATTTGGAGATTCTGGGTGTGGTTTACATTCATATCACATTTCAGTTCTAGCCCAACAGGTGCAGATGGATGCGGTGCATACATGTACATGTATAAATTACATGTATAAACCTAAGGAAATGTCACTCACATGTACATTTTGTACATGTACAGCTAAATCTGATCCGTTGGATCATTAACAATGCCTGCTACTGTAGTCTGGACCCAGGAGATAAGGTAAATGGAGTTACTGCATCTTACCCCTGCATCCCACTGGTACATACATGTATACTTGCATTGTGACAGCTGCAAATTAGTGGTTTTCCAAAATGTACTGTAGAAATACATGTATTGGTTGTGGCAAAGTTGTCGGTACCAGGCCTGAAGACACAACATTGTCTGTCCACTGTCCACAAAAAAATGTATAAACAGTTGGATCAAAAACAATCTCCAAACGATAAGGTACAATGTACATGTACTTGGTATTCCGTACATGGACCGGTACCTGTAGTTGGAAATATACCAGTACCAAGATGAAAGAAAATGTAGGCCTTCAAGTGCAGGTGCATGTTGTACATTGTACATGTACATGTACATGTAAGCCTACCGGTACATGTAGGCCTACTAGTACATGTACATGTGCACGTACGCAGTGTGTAAAATGTTTGTTGCACAAACAGCATGTACTGGTAGTGTACCTTAGGTTTATTAGGTTCAGATGCTCTAAAAATGAAATTGGCATTATGATGTTTTTGTTTTGTGCTGAGTTTGTGTAGTACCGCTGCTCGTGTTGAACGTGTGTGTGTGGGGGACAGGGAACGAGGCTTTCATGGTGTGAAGCGAGACAATTTCTACTTACCTGCATTTGGAGCATTTCTCTTTCCCCATGCTATTTTTTGTTCGTGCGGGCAAAGTAGGTGAAATCGCAAGTGTTTGTCCGACAACTACTGTACGAAACAAGTGTGTACATGTGTCGCACATGTACACAGCATTGTAATCGACATGTACCGTACATGTAGTTCACATGCAAAGTTACGGTACATGTACATGTACATGGCACTGGTACATGTACATGTGCCGTATATTTTGATACAGGTACAGTACAGGCACATGTAGGACAGTGTACTTAGTACATGTACATGTACATGTGTGCCCCATGTTGATATTTAAATTCTTTGCGGCTTCCGCTAGCTATACAGGTACGGGGACCGGGCCTACCGGCATGTTTTTTAACATTGACTATTGCTTTATTAGTTGGTGTACATGTATGTGTTTGTGCAGATGCTGAAGTTTCAGGTCTGCACAGACTGTTGAGTGGAATGAATCACAAGCATGTTATTCTGTGGATGCGGATGGTTTTCTGCCTCTCATGGGCACTGTTTCTGCAAGTGTATCACAGAGTGTTGGTTTAGGTGATTCACTAGATCCTGCGAGCTTGCAGCTAAAAGCCTCGTAAATCTCAGTGCGTTCATCAGAAAAGTTGTAAATCTTCGCAGGTTTGTCCCAGTTGTGACAAAGTAAGAGTCATGATGTGTTAAAGCTGTGGCGAGTGTGGCTTCCATTGGAGCAAAAAATTACCTTCCATCGCCCCACGCTGGGGGTTCAATTACTTAAGTAGTGCCTGCTGTGTTGACATGAGAGTCCTGGCAGGGGTAATATGGGGGCTGGTTGAAAGACATGCCCAAATCAAAGGTGATAGGTTTATTTTGGCCTGTGTGCCCATCCTGGTCAGCAGTGAAGCTGGACAGTCGCTTCATATCTCAGATGAGGGTGAAAGTTTTTTGTCTGTCTGTTTATAATTTGCACAACAAATTTCGTTCATAAAAAATTGCAGCTCTGAAAATACGTACATGTACCAGTATACATGTATATTTACCGATACGTGCATGCTGGTATAAACAAGTCTTTTCCAGCATCTCAAACGTTTTTTGTTCTGTATATTACACGTGTTAGCCCGGAAAGTGGATTTTTTTTCCCTGCATAATTACACAAATGGAAGGAACCCTCTCTCTTCAACTATTTATTGAAATGTCACTAATTCTTTAATTCATTTCCCCAATCTGTGAGATGTCCTTGTGTTGTTTTAATGTTTTTAGCTCTTCTTGTTTACAAAATTTGTGATTCTGACTACCCGTCCTCCCCTACCTTCTTTTGTTTAAAAGGACTGACAGCGTGCATGTGGCTAACCCCAAATTTGTATTTCATCTTTTTCTTCCCTCCTCAAACTCGCATGTTTCCATGGCGATGTTTCATCATGCCTGTCTGTTCATCGCACACAACACTTGTTGGTTGCTTTGGATGGTATGTATGGTGTTTTATTCAAACTGTGTGGGTAGTTGTTTTGGACAGCGCTTGCTGAATGTCAATAATGTAGCCAGGGCCGGCCTCCAGTTGTTAATGCTAATACAAACTCAAACAGGTCTGGCTGTCATGCAAAAAAGTGTCAAATTAACACTTTTGGCGTTCTTGCACCCCTTTCCTGGTGTAGGGAAATCCCCTGATTTGGTGCACTTCAACCTTTTTTTTTTCATGTCAGTGTCTGAGTGTTGCCTGACTTTTTGTCAGTAAAACTCGACTTTGTCAAGATTTTGTTGTAACAGGGATTATTTGATTTCACACAAATATTGCCAAGGTGCTTGCTAGAGGGGAAAACGGGGAAGTGCACAACGTAAGGAATGCACCTCAACTGACATCAATACCACACTGTACCCTACAGTAACATGAATGTGTAGGAGCAGTTTAATACAGATACAGTACCAAGTAGTGTTGGCATATCACCAGTTGTCGCAGGGCAGTCCAGAAACAATATCCTGCTCAGAAATGGCACAGCAGTTTCTCCAGTCACTCTGCAAGAGAGCCAAATTGGGCACAAAACAAGTGCCACTGATTACCCTACCCAAACTCCCTTCTCCCCCCCCCCATCTCCAGCGGCTCACCCCATGGCAGCACCCTGTCTCTGTGTAAAAGCAAAACCGTGAAATAGAGACCACTGGGGCATGTCGCTGACCCTGCATTTACCTGGCGGTTGACAGGCCACCAACGTGCAACCTGTGGTTATCAGAACCTGGGTGATGTCGATTTTGTTGCCGGGCTGGTTGCCGGAGGTTACAGGTTGTTTTCCCCTGCATTGCCAACCTCCTTCCCCCTCTTCCAATTCCCACACGTGAAGGTTTTGGGGCACCGACTAAATTCCCTGAAAATTACCGTAATTTGCTGGAAAATGGGAACGCCATAGTTTGTGTGGCCTAAGGCTGTTTGGTTTACTGGGAGGTACTGAATTTTTAAAGGACGTTAGCGGAAAATCACTGTCTGTTGTTTGGTTTTCGGGCTTGTTCATTTTCAAAGCAGGGTTTACATTTTGTTACCGGTAGCTTGCAGAGCCAAAACATCGGCTTATCACACAATTGTGTCCATTTGTGGCATTTCTCTTTTCTCTCACCTTCTGCTTATAACATAACTGACATCACCCAGTGTCTTTTAACGGTAATTTACAAATGTAGTGTTTGTGTATATACCGGTACATGTATAGTGTGAAATTTATATACACATATTTTTCCACTTCAAGTTTTTCTGCACGTCCAACTTTACCTTCTTGTTGCTTTTGTGTCTCAAGGTGATGAAGGCGAAATTAAAGGCTTCTCTCCAAATGAAATGTAAATGACCTCTGACAGAGAGTTTTTTTAAATTCTGCAGCACAGGGCTGTCAGCTGATTTACTTGTCAAGCGTTGCCCCTCGCTGATGTTTCCACTCACTGATTTGTCCTCTGTAAAATTACCCTGCAAGAAAGTGGGAAATCTATTCTGTGCTAAGGTGCTGTTTTTCCCACTGTTCAGAGTTTTCCTTCCATGGATGGAACTGAAATAATCAAAATGTTCTTTGTCCAGACTGTACACATTCCAAGCTCATGTAATGTGCAACCCTCTTAAATGTCTTGTTAGATTGGTGAAATAATTTGATATTGCATGTTTGTGATTGGTGTTAGAAGTTGAAGCTCACCGTGATGTGTGAGAGTGTAATAAAGTGTTTTTTATTGTTATTTCCTCCAGCCTGTGTGTACTCTGTCTGATTCAAATGAGCAGAGAAGACGGAAACCACTCCTCCCTTACTCCAAACTGCCGGCAAGGCCGCTGTCCGAGGGAGATCTCCTTGATGACTATGTCCCACCAAACCGTGGTACCCTCCCCACCCCTGAGGAGCTCATGCGTCGGAATGTCACCCTGTCCACGGTGGTGGATGTGGACACGTCCGGGACAGGCTTTGAGCGGATGCAGATGTTTCGCCGGTCACTCACCGCCATGGGCCGGAAGCTGGAGAAGGCCAAGAAAAAGCGTTGGCGGCGAACCATCTCTGGCATCCCTGATAACGTCCGGGCAGAGCTCCAGACAGAGTCTGCCGGGGAGGCGGACGATGGCCGGTCCACGGACCGGGAGAATGAGGATATGCAGAGTCTCAAGACCATGAGCCTGGACCGCCGGACTTTCAGCCAGGTCAAGCCTGTGGAGTCGCCGGCAGTGGGCATTGCTGTGGTCACCCCAATCCGGACGCGGCGCAGGCCCAAGTCTCTACGTCTGCCGGGACCCATCATCTTCCCAGGACTCCAGCAGTGGAGGGAGAATCACCAGGCCAAGCAGGAGAAGAAGCAGGAAGCCAAGGCAGGCAGCAGAGACAGACACTCGGTGGCACTGCCTGCTCAGACTGCTGTCCCCACTCCAAGTCCAAGTCAAGGTACATGTACCAAATTCTGCTCACAGAATCTGAAAAAAAATGCTTAACCACATGCTGCTGGGTGCTTTTAAAAATGCAGTGCACACATACGGGCGATTTTCAAGGATTTCAGTTTTCAAAATTCTTCAAAAATTCATCATTTCATTGAATGGATGTTTACACCCACACAAATGACTGTTTGGTGGCTACTCGAAGCTGACAGGTGACCTTCATTGACTCCTGAGTATTTCAGCCAGGCCTGCCACCCTGTAAAGAGAGCCCAGAATTGTGAGGTGTTGCGTAATTTCCTTTGTCCCCAGTGAATGCGAGTGGCGTCTTTTCAGACGTCGATGGATTAGCATGCCAGCAGTGCTGTGCCGCTCATCAATGGGGCCCTGGAGCATTTATGTCCACAGTGCTAATCCGTACGCGCAATGCCCAAAACAGTGGTATACTGTTAAAAAACAGAGACGGAGTACCCTCGAAAAGTACAAGCCGAAAAATGATGGCAATTCCGAGCAGCAGGTCTTTTGTTCCGAGTAGGGTCTTTGGTTACACAGACCAGCTCTTTTGTCCCATTTTGGGCATCCCGGCTCTGCGTATAAACCCATCATGCTCAAAACGGGGTTCCCCGGCAGCAAGTGGTTAATTTCTCTGGTAGTCTTCACTAAAGCTTTCAGCTGTCTTAATAGCCCAAATGGGAACTGTTTACCGATTTCATATTGCTCATGTGGAGTAATTTTAACCTGCATTTTAGCACCCAACTTTCAAGGAAGTTCCATGTTTGTTTTCTGTAGGTTATTCATCCTGCTCTGATGACAAAGCCTGGCCAGGACCAAGCCAGAGACGGCCCCAATCATTGGCTTTACCCCCCAGCTCAATCCCACAATCCCTAGCCCCATTGGCACTGCTGTCCCCTGCTCAGCTCGCAGGAAAGAAAGTCTATGTAACCTCCAACAGAACAGTGCCCAACGCCGTCATTCCAACCAGCTCTGTTACCATGACGATCAGCACATGCAAAACGTCGTCAGGGAGCAGGGACAGCCAAGATGGCCTCCCTCTAAATGAACTTCAAACAGGACTCCCCTCCACTAAGGTCCGACTACGGACCGCTAAACCGACAGTGAAGAGAGAAGAGCGACAATCCAGCTCCGGCAACTGGAGTGGAACAGACAGTGCACGGACATCCATGAACTCTGACCTGGGCAGTGCAATGAACTGTGACTTTTTGGGCTCCACCACAACTTCCCCGTCTGATTCAGCTGTTTCCCTCTCCAGTGAGAATATCTCCTTCCCCAAATTCAGTGGGGGTTTGAAGAGTCTGGACCGAAAGCACAGCCGAGGGAAGTCGGACCAGCCGAGCGGTCACTTGTATACTTCGGCGGGGGAGTCCAGCAGCGAGTCCTCTACCCCGACCAACAGCCCCAATGTGGGCCGCAGCGGTTTCACACAAATGGACACGGACTCCTGGCTGCAGAGCGTTGGGGCGGCCACTGAGCGGAGAATGCCCCCGGAGGCTGGCAATGTCGCCCCTGCTAGGAAGTCACCCAAGGGCCAGCAGTGTGAAGTCATCTTCACCTCAGACGCACTCTCTGACTCCTCGTCGTCATCGGAGAACCCAGCCAGCTCGTCAGCCCTGTCAGACAATGGCAGCATAGACCTGGATGCCTGCCTGGCCGACATCAACAGTGATTTCATTGACTCAGACAGCACTTCTGGTCATTCCGTTGACCACGAAGGTTACTGGACGTCCATGCACTCGGACTGCGGCCTGCCATACCGTCGCACCAAGAAGCGCAAATCGAGCCCTTCCAAGGAGCCCCTGCCAGTTAACCTCAGGATTGGACCTCCAGCAGTGCAGCCTAAACCTAAAAGAATATCATTGGTCGTTGCTGCACCTGTGGTTCCATCTTCGACCTATCAGAAGAAGGCACCACCTCTCCCACCCATTCGAGTGGATTCTGTTTCTTCAGGTCAGTCCCTCAACACCCAACAAAACGACCAAACTCAAAATGAAGTGGGTAGGTATAAATAAAGTCTTGAATAATTTCCATTTCCGTGGTAAAATGTTGAAGAAGAAATAATCAGGTCCAAGAAAAAACTTACAAAGCATAAAGGGTTATGCATATACCGGTAGATCTGCATTGATTAGTTTTGCATTGATTGCAACAAAGTTTTTATCTTACCTTTAGGTCACAAATCCTCAAGTCTGCTGCCGCCATTATCCTTCCAAGATGATAATCGTAGCGTCTCACCGTCCTCCCTGACCGACACTGCCTCTGAGGCCAGCACCATCAGCAGTGACACCACCACCACCCCCACGCTGACCCCGGTCCAGACCCCAACAGACCCGGCCCTGTACAAGCTCTGCTTCGGTGGGAGTTCCAAATCCCTGGAGAGCCTTGACAGTCAGTTGAGCGGCTCCCAGGGGAACGGTCCCACCTCCAGGGTAGATGCCTGGACTGCTGAGGTCTCTGAGAGCTTTCATTTTGGACAGGAACCTACCAGGTTTGGCACTCCGACCTTAAATGCCACCACAAGCTCATGTGTCTTGGCACCACCTGTTCAGGAACAAGCTTCTGTGGCCAAGTTCCGACCCCAGCTCATCCAGCCCTCCAGTTCGGTCCTTCCTAGAGTGTCGCAGGCTCAGCCTCTCGTCTTTCCCCAGCCAGCCGTTGTCCCTAACTCCCCAACCCATGAGGGCAAAATGAAGATGCTGAACGCTCGCGACAAGTTCTTTGGAATTTCCCGTACTACAAACACAAACAGCGGAGCTGTTGCTAGCGACACTGCAAATGGAACTGCAGATGGTAACGAACAAACTTTGCCTGATGAAGTCCTGGAGAGTGAAGAGATAGTGTCCCCCATTGGTGTGTACCCTGAGAAGTACAACACTTTGAAGCGAAGACCAAAACATGAGGCGGATGCCTCAAAGAAAGCTGCAGCAAAAAAAACTCAAGACCTCAGTAACTCTCTAGTCGTGTCTGACGTGTCTGCTGATGATGTCTTTGATGAGCAATCTGAAGTTTGTGCGCCTGAAGGGAAGACGGTCGCCTCTCAGGCCAAGAAAGGCCTCGATACCCTCCAGCGCAAGCGTTTCCAGGAGTATGTCAGCAACGTCCAGAGCCAGGCGCCCCAGAACTACAACTCCATCAACAGTCTGAAGGAGTCTGCACCGGGAAATGGCACTCAGGCCATGACCAGGGAGCAGAGGGAGGAGATTCTGAACATGCTGCGCCGAACCAAGAACAGCAAAGTGGTCAACTCTCCCTCCCTGCCGGAGCCCAGCCTCAAGAAATGGGATGATCCGCCCAGACACGAACTGGGCAAGATTCACGAGAATGTGACTGTGCAGGAGCCGGCATTACAGCAGGAAGAAGAAACCAGTGAGAAGGCATCCTTCAGGAGCTCTTACTACGACAGCGTGGAGTCCGAAAACTTGGATCCGGACTTAGCAATCATCCGGGCAGCCGAACAGATGGAAAAACAGCTGCGGCTTCAGCGGCAAAGCCCGAATGCACCAGTTATGTCCTCCCCCTCAGAGCCTGATGACAATGTCTGGTTGCCAAATTCCCAACCTTTCAGCAGAAATAGCATTGCCTATCGCTCCATCTACGACTCGGAGATGTGCGGTAATTCCTTCAGCCATATCCCCTCCATGGACATGGACAATTCCTACGTCTATGACCCCAACCTGAAACCAAAGAGCTCCATCCTGAAAGTGAGAAAGCAAGGAGACACATCCCGAAGCGAGACCAAATCTAACGGGATGAAGCATCACTCGTCCACACTGTCTGGAGGACATGGACAGGCCACGATGAGTCCCACAGACTCAGTCAGCTCCCTGAACTCCATCCGGAGCATCACATTCTCCGATACACTCGACGTGGAGCGTACCCCGGTCAAGGTGTGTCCCCTGTCTGGAAAGCCACAGACGCCCATGGATGACTTTAAAATGCTCCTTCAGCAGCACTCGGGGCCCAGGAGGGGACAGTCAGCATGCTCTGCCCTGAACGTGCAGCCCAAATCACCGAGGACACCGAGCACAGCAGAGCTGCTCTACTCTGGCAGCAGGGCAGGCACCATCCAGGAGGAAGGCACCAAAGTACAAGACAGGAAGATCGTCACCATGAAAGACTTGAGGACTGCCATGGCTAACCCCAGGACCAACTCCAGGACAGGAGATCTTGGCCTGCCCTACGAGGAGCTGCAAGCTCAGAACAGGCAGAGGAGCCCGAAGAACAGCCCCACGGCAAGTCCAAACAGCACTCTGACTAAACAGGACAAGGGGGTCAGATTTGATTTTGAACAGGTGCAAGATATGACCTCAGACACCAATGCTAGCAAGAGCCTGGATACTGGGCGAGTTGAAAGTCTTCCCAATGGGAATGTGAATGATTTGACTCAAGATGACCAAAGTCGGCAGTCGTTGAAGGTAGGAGGGAATGAAAACGGGAAGGTAAGCAGTCAAAGAAATTTGGGACTGCTGCCTGAACAAACGAACAAGAGGGTTGTGTTAAACCATTCTTCTGCATCTGACCCAGGGGAAATTCCATCAAGTAAAGTCAATGCTGTCAAATCGGGGTCAGAATCCGTCGTCCCGGGTGATAACATTCCAATCAGTCAGGCGAACAAGGCGAAGAGCATCAAGAGTCCGCCAGATCTGACCTCTCGCTTCATGCCTCACCTGACAGAGTCGGCCTCCGACTCTATCCTGTCCCGCAAGGACCTGATGGACGAGATCCGGCGGCGGGGTGGGGCCGGCCAGCAGGGCTCACGCCAGGAGGCGGTGGCTGCACTGGAGATGCAGCAGCTGCAGCGCAAGCTTAGCACCTCTTCCTTGCCCAGCCTGACCACCGCCGGCGCCGGCCCCACACCCGGGGGTAGTAAGGCCCTGGGCTCCTTACTGGACAGCATGAAGACCGCCCTCAAGAGCATGGAAGTGGCCAGTCCGGCAGTTGAAGGGGAGCACGAAAATGACAGCAGTGCTTGGGAATGAGCCACATATTGCAGGTTTCTGGTTTTCGAAAATGCTTTCACTTCATCTGTTGTTTTTAAATTGAAAAACAGATAAAAATTTTCATGCAGCTGCCAGTTTTGGTTAATAGCAAAGAGAAATATACATGTATTTGGCGCCCTCACTACTTGCAGGCACTGCACAAGCAGTGCTCCCTGTATCTTGCAAACTTGGTGTTTGATTCAGTTTAAAGCTGGAAAATCTACAAATCTCTACATTCCTGAGGGCACCATAAATGGTCATTCACTCTGTTAGTAGCCAGATCTGGTACCCTCAATGAAAGTGTACACTACATTCTTGGTGACCATTTTATCTGTTGTTTTTAACCCAAAATATTGGCATTTTTATGGACTGCATACACAAGTTCTGTGTCTCTTCAGGCTTACATTGCTTGCACTTACAGTACTGTGTTACATGTGTACTAAACACACATATGGCATGGCTCAGCCTTGACCCTACCAGTACAAGACAGACAAATAGTTACTTTTTTGTGTCGGTTGCGAGAGACTTTGATGCATGTAGATCACTGTTGCTCAAGTTATTTTTTAGTACCTTTTTCGGGAGAGAGGGTTGAGATTGTCATTTTTAAAAAGATTTTTTTTTTATCGTGTACTTGAGGGGCTCTGTGTCTCAGAACCTGTGTGCAGTCAACACTCGTTACAATAAAGTTACAGGGACCAGAGAAATTACTTGTTTGTAATCGGGACTTTAATATGAAGGGATTGAGAAAACAGAGGAACTCTAGAAGTATAGATTCTCAGAATTCGTTCTTTATATCGAGAGTTGACTGTGCCGCTGCATGTTCGCATACTTGATGCATCAGTGAGTTGATTTGTCTTTTTCCACTTGTCAGATCTGGGGGTTCATTTGCTTTGGTATTGACCCAGTTTCCAAGACAGTCCATTCGTGGGTAATGTTTCGGGCCTAAAGGCTATTCGGACCGGCGCATGCCCAAAAGAGCATAGTTGCTTACTCTGCAGAAAGCCAGTCCGGTCCTCGCTGTGCACATTGTATCCAGTGCGGTACACTGGATAGAGATGTGTGAAAAACTAACAAGGCTGTACAGTCTGTGTCAACACAGCAAAGGGAGAGAAAGAGAAAACTAAAGCTGCCGGCGTTGTAGCACTGTATAATTTCACGGGGGCCTCATAGGCTGTGTCTTGCTCTGTACTTGAGGATTTGGGGAATGCGGTATTGATTTTAGCGGCAGCGCGTGCCGCGCTGAAATGTCATTCCGGGTTACGTAAACAATGCAGGAATTGGGAGTTCTTGTATTTCTCTGAATATGAAAAGCCCCATCTTCTTTTGATGATAAAGTTCTCCTAAAGTATTAAACCTGATTTATTCCCTTTTTCTCCACAAATTTGAGATCAGAGATGTGTGGGCATTAAATGTGTCCTGTACGTCCGACACTGCAGGCAGAAATGTCAGACCAAGGGAGTACATTTATTGTACATGCACAAGAGCACTCTGGACCATCAAAGCCAAGTGCACGCCTCTGAACATGGGACATCTGTACATTTAAGACTGTCCCCTATCCCATTCAAAGATCAAGGACTTCTCAATTTCAACCCGAACTCCTTGGTTTCTCCCCCTTAAAAGTCCAGTGGTCCGTTTCTACTTGCAGTACCCGATTAACATTCTTGTGATTTATAAAGCAAATTGTAGACACCCACATCCTAACTCTTGCCAAGGTTGCATAGCCTTGAATTTCTCCTAGTCAGGTGAAACACAGCTCATTTTGGACACGTATTGGGCAAAAGGGCTCATGTGGCCACTTACATGTATAATCATGTATTTGGTTTGTGTACAAGTTTATATTTGGTCATTTGTGTCTGTATGCATGAATGGGAATGCACAGACATGTCAAATGCACATTGTCCATTTGCATGTTCCTGCATAGATTCAACTGCATGCACATGTACACGGACACTACCGGATTTATGACTGAGGACCTGCTCTTGCAAATTTGCGAGGCAATCAGCCTGTTCCTTCATTCTGGCTTTCCATCAAAGTGCCATTTAAATGTACATGTACATGCTCTGAGTACATGCACCTGATCAGATAGCTACCCTGCAGTGTGTAATTTATACCAGTGGGTGTACGTAGTCCATACCTTATGCTAATTCCACACAAGGGGTAGCCAGCAAGGATTTCTTTATGCAAATTTGTTCCTATAACGCATGCAAGATTTGGAGATGCGCTTTACATGTAGATGCAAATGTGAAGAGAGAAAGAACAAAAGTGTGTCGTTGCCTTCTGTAATTATTGTAAGAGATGCCAAAGTTCTATGTACATGTATTTTAGTGATGAATCTTTTAGATCATTGAATCCTTCCTTGCAGTTTGTTGTGTCAGTGCTAAAAGGTCGCTATCGAGAGATTGCACCAAAAGGTCCTTATTGATTTTGTTTTAAACATGAATTTGGGCAAGAAAAATTGGTTGAAGTCTAACCCTAACCCCTTAGAGTGTATGTCAAATCACATCAAAAACAGGAGGATTTGGGACTGTAACACATGGTGGCTCGCCAAAAACGACACGCAGCTTCATAAATAAACATTTGAAAATGTAGTCTGTTTCAGTAAACTGTTTCTTTCATGCTGAGAGGAGGGCCTCAGACTTGACAGTGTTGGCGCCATGACTTTCTAGCACTAAGCTCACGAATTGTTGTATAAAAAAATAGCGTAAAATGTTATTTCAAAGTGCCTTCTGGTGTGAGCTGAAAGTTTGGTATTTGTACATGTATTTGATGCAAAATGCTACCAGCACGTAAATTGCAAGATGAAGATATCATGTGGCAGTGTTTGTTCATGTTCAATTTCACCACTGAGCCACAGGTGTTTACCAACGAGCCAGTCTGCTGAGTTTCCCCCCCCCTTTTTTTCCCAGTCTCGTGCAACTTCGACAATAGCCCGTATCACGCCATGGTAACCGATACGTGTAAGCCTAGCCCAGACCAGTTGGGAATGTGGCTTGAATTGCACTGTCCCAACACTTCAGTTTTTGTCACACTGTCAGCTGTACCGAGCTCATGTCAGTTTTCTGTTTCCTGCCGAGTTGACAGCCAGTCTTGAACATCTCCCTTTTTTATCTCTCAGTTGGCAGAGGGGTGGGGGGATGTTTGAAGAAGGGATTTCCATCATTTGAGTGTTGCCATTGAGGGCATCGTGGCCTGACCAGTATCGAGCGGAAATTTAAGTGTTCTTGCATGTTTTAAATTGAACAAGTTTCTGAAACAGCAGTTTCATAAAATTATCAGTGTCCACAATTTGGTCATACTTTAATGACCAAAAACACATGCTTGTGGCTTTTTTTTTCAGCTCTATATTTAAGCTGCTAGATTTGCTCAGTCACCATAGCTACGATATCGCACCCAGGGGTTTGATGTTCACCACCAGCCAAACCAGGCCCCACAGTGCGTGTCAATTTACCAAACTGGCTCAATATTTGCCATTGTGGCCTGCTGGCATTATCGGCCTACCCTTTTCTGTTTGTCTGATTTCCCAACCTCACTCTATTTCTGTCACTATCTATTACCCCATCTACACAGTCCTCTGATGCAGTCCATCTTTCTTCTCTCCCCCTTTTTTTCTCTGTCGTTTTGGCCCCCTGTACCGTGAGTGCACTTCATAGAGCCCCCCCTCGTCTTGTTGGGTGGGTTTGCTTGTTTTTCCTTCCCTCCCCGTGATGCCTGTCTCCCACAAGACGTATCGTGAATTCAGCTGTGGGCCCCTAGGCTCCAGACTACGCGTTGGCTGTAAATGAGAGTCCATTTTCTTTAGAAAGAGAGAAAGCCAAATTTCTCCAAGCGAGGGTGAGGGGGTCGGTGAGACTGAGAGACGAACAGTGAAAGAAGGCAGCGGGGGGGGTGGTATCCATGAATATGTGCATTGGCAGTAGTTGTTTGGTTCTCTCTTAGAAAGACCCCCCGGATTCCTTTGCAAAATGCAGCACAGGGAAAAGCGACCGACGGTCAGGAATTCTTGCATTGTCTTCCCAGCTCTTGCAGCAGAGTTGCCGGGGACATGCATGAATGGCAATTTAAGGATTGAGTACGGGGAAAAAATGACCAGATTGAGACGAATATAAGCTGTCCTCAAGAAAAGCAGCAAGTTACACATTACTTTCAGAGAGAGCAATGTGTTGTTGTCACAGGATGTGGTTTTATGGGGCTATACAGGAAAAAATGGTTCCAAAAAGGCATTTACAAAAGGGGTGAAAAATTGACTGCAGGCCAAAAAAAGATCTCTTGTCAAGATGAATTCCTTTGTGTGCGCGTGTGCACATAACAGGTTTGATAGTGTACATGTTCCCAAGTCTACAGGCGTTGCACGCATGTTGGTTCAAACTAGATACAGAATTTTTCCAATCTGTTTCGACACTTTAGTTGTTGAGACTTCCAGATCAAGCTGATATCAAATCTCAACTTTACCATGGGCAAAATATTCTATTGTTTACACTGCAAGTTTTGTTCATGTAGGTTTTTCCTACACCTATGTTGGAGTGCATGTACACTTGTTCATGTATTCAGTTCACAGAAAGAGAAACCCCACCAACACATTTTTTTCTGATGAAACTTTTGTTGTCAGCTAGAGAAATTCCGCTCCCCAGAAGAACTTGATCTAAAATATTGATGACTAGGGCCAAAGAGTCAGGAGCCTTCGGTGTCGGGGGCCGCTTGTATGGCAGTGATAGGTTTGGGGGGGGGATCCAACTGGGGAATTCTCTAGGCTTGGAAAGAAATGAGGATTGTGTCATATTTCGGTCATGAACTTCGAGAGTGTTTGCTTACAATGCACAATCTTTTTTGTATTTTATTACTTCCATGAGAGTTCTTGGGGGCAAGCTGAACGTGCCAATAGTATTTCCATGTGTTATACATTGTCGGGGTTTCCCTTGGGGAATGTAATAAAGGCAGTACTTTATGGCTCCTTGATTTAATTTAAACGGGGTCGTTTTTGTCAGTGTTTTTTTTTCCTTGGGAGATGAATAAGTACGTTTGCTAAAATAATTCCTGCATTTTAAGATCATTTTGTCTCATTCCAGAAAGTTCTGCATTAAAGATTTCATTCATGCCTGTTCTCTAGTTCAGAGAAAGGACTCCCCCACATATACACACACACGCACACCCTCACAAAAGTCAGCATATTTCACAAAATTAATGGCAGGGAATTGGGCCAGGCAGTGTGTTTCGGCCCCGGCCTGCGACGTCGAGCAGTGTCGTCCCTGCTCACGCCATGCGTGACGTGTTTTTGCGGGGGACTTGCTGGACATGACAGAAAAGAAAGGCGGCCAGACCACTGTCTATGCTTTTTCTCCCAAGCTCTAGTTTCTGCAGTGTTTTACAGTCTGCGAGCAGGTTGAGGAGAGCCATACGCTCAAGAAAGAAATGTGCCTCGCTCATGGAAAAAAGCGTGTGTGTTTTTTTTTCTAATTGGTGACATTGGGTAGTTGATATTATATTCTCCAAGGGGGTATAGGTTCTGGCTTGAATTCAGATCAAACAACAGGGTGAAGAGGGTTGATTTTGACCCAGTTGTGTAAAGTCTGTGACAGTCTTTGTATGTATTGAACAGTATGCTTGCCTGTTGCCTTTGATCGATCGAGCTGATCCATCAATGCCCAAGAAAATTCCTCCTTGCCTGGATGCAGAGTGTATTGCATCAGTTGCTTCTTTCTCCCTTCTTTCATCTCCCCATCCCCCCAACCACCTTGTCATCCCCGCTTGCCACTCTCACACAATCTCGCTTCATTTCCTGTGCGTCCTCCGTCCTGTCTTCTCTCTGTTCCTCTTGATTTGTTTTCTGAGCTCATTCTTATTCTGGTCATTCCGTCCCCGTTTCCCCCCCGTCACTTGTCTGTCCTCTCTTCTCATTTTTAGTTGTTTTTTTTCCCCCCTCGGTGGCGGCCATTCTTAATTTCATCTCTCGGCTCACTGCCGCCCTGTCTTTTTTATTCGGTTTTTTTTAGGGGTCCAAGTTGGAGGCAAGAAAAGAGAGGGAAGGGGGGGCTAGAGCTCATTGATTTGGTCAGCCGTCTGCTCAGTTGTGAGGGTCTTGTGGGCGAGTCATGAATGTGCATAAGCTCCCCCCCCCTTGAAACCGATGCGGGTGCAAATGAACAATGCTAGGCGCATATTGGCAGGGGTTTTTTTTCAGCGCCCAAGTTTGGGATTGCTCAAGGCTCTTGGCTTTGCGGAAGTTGGATCCCAGATTATTGTGTGTAATTAGCTACCCTGTGGTCCATCTCCCATCTTATGAAGGGCGCAGGCTCCCATTTTGGGCAGTGTGACACCCCGCAATTGCAAATAGTCCCCCCCCAAAAAAACCCAGCAACTTGAAAATGGTTACTCGATATGGCAAACTCGCTCTGCTAATTCAATTAAAAAGATTTCTAGCCTTCAGTGCAACACTCTCTGTCTCAATAAGGCCTTCTGAGTTTGTTAACGAAAGGGCATGACAGTGATGTAGCGACCTAATTTCCCCCTCGAAGGGAACTGAAGCAGCAAGGACGTCACTGGCCCCCAGTAACATTGTTCTGCCGAGTGTCCTACAGTACAGGTACATCACAAACCCCTTTGCAGATAACGATACTGAGTACGTCAAGAAAAAAAATGCTTAGAGCATCTATTTCTACTCATGTGTAATCCGTAACTGTCTTGCCAACCCCCCCTCGGCTTTTTGAGTGGTCAAACTACAGGCAAGATCCCCTCCCCCCCCCGATATGTCCTCCTGATAAGCCATACCGGCACCATTAGTGATTGATTTGTCTCTTGGCATCTTCTCACTGAGTGGAGGGATATTGGACGTATTTAAATAGCATCAGCGATAGGGTGACCCATTTGAAAAGTAAATCACTGCGAGGGGTTTAGTAGGAGAGGCGATAGTTGTTTCTCTAGAAGCTTCTTGTTCAGCTTGGGTGAGACGCTGGCTGGCGTGTTGCTAAATCCAATCTTCTGTGAGGAATTTTGCTTAGAACGCTACAGTGGGCTGCTTTGTAATAGTCACTCGTATGGTTGTCCCAATAGGCACGCTGCAACTGCTGTTACCCATAGAGAGAAATGCCGTGTGTAGCTCTTTGCATGTTAAAGAGGTGCTCTCAAAGATCTTTATATCATGATCAAGAGGATGTGCCCTTTACTGCGTGGAGCCGACTGCCCTTTTACATGTAATCGAAGACAGCCAAATGAACTTTGCACTGATTTATACATTGGCACTTGTGCAAGCACTGTGAGAACATTTTTTTAAGTGGGAATTTTGAAGTTGATTGCTTGAGTTTTATTCAATGTTGCCAAACAGCTGAGCGGTGGGTAAAAGTAGCATCTTTGTTACTTAGTACCATCTGTGCAAAAAGGCGGGGGGGATATCCTTTGCTGTCAAACACATTGTGATATGTAGTGCTGTCCATGTCAGATACGTGTAAGTTTGTCAACGCGAATTTTGATGCGAAACCAGCAAATGGTGGTTAATGTACAATGTACAGTGTGCAGTTCTTCTTGAAACCTCGTTACCAGAGCTTCCATACTATGATTTGCAGAATAGCAAATTTTGTACTACGAGTACTGTAAAGACTTAGGTTTTTATCTGAGAGTTTAAACGGCAGGATTTGACACTGATGCTGTTTTTCATTTTAATAGTTCCATATTCGAAGGGACTTTGACGATTTTGTCCCAAAGAACGTTAACCAAAATTTAAGCTTTATTTCCACACTGCAAGTTCTTTCTTTAATAACGTTTTTCGTGACTTACTGCAACAGCAGTTTTTTAAAAGTAAATTTCAGCTGTTGTATTCATAATCTTGTAAAATGCATGTAAAGAAGAAAATCTAGAAATTAAGTTATTGATCTACGGTGAATACTTGCTGATATTATTAAAAATAGGTACTAAGAACAAAATTCCAACGCCTTATTGTGTATTTATTGTGCTTGTTTTCCTTTGAATTATGACACGGTTGCATTTGTTATCTTGCTAATTTTGTGAACTTGGTTTGGAGTATGTGACGCTAGTTTACATGTATTTTATGATTTCTAGATCTTCTGGTCTTTTATAATTTGTAATTTGGCATTTATTTGATGGATTAGGTTTTAAGTCGTAATGTACATGATTAGTTTCTGTGGAACTAAAACTGTCTGCGTCCTTGTGTACAAATTTTGATTTAAAAGTCAAAGCGAGTTGTTTGTCATTTGAGGAAAGAAATATTGTACATGTAGGTAGTTTAATGCAGGGTCTAAGTGTTTGACTTTTGAAAGGACGGGGACAGTTCCACTATCAAACCTTTTCAAGAGTTTCTTTTTGTTGCATAGATATGTAATTGAGCTCCTATGTTAAAAATTGTGTTTCAGAAATTGTTATGAATTTTATTCTGTATTTCTCTTTGTGAATGATGAACTGTTGTATAATTCTAGTGTTGCGGGGAAAAAGGGTCGTTTACCTGAATTCTTTCCTCTATTCCCTTTAGTTTATTTATTTTTGAGGTTGCTTACCCAATCACTGAATTCCATTGAAGTTGGACATGGGAAAAACTTTTCAAACTGAACTGACTGAAATCATTTGCATTTCAGTTGTCATGCCAACACCAAAATGCACAGCTAGAAATATGGAGAATTTTTAAAGACTGTAAAGTTGTTAATATTGTTTTTAATGGTTTTAATTATATTTCTTTCTTGAGGCCGGTTCATATGCAAATAGGCCTATATGCGAATGGAATGCGAATTTCATGTCATGAAAATTGGCAGCAAAATTTTGCTCAGGTTGACGTGTTCAACTTTTATGAATTTGCATCATGCATATTTGATCTGACGTCATAAATATGCATTTGTGATCGGCACCAAGTATGAACCGGCCTTTACACAGGTAGACCTTTTAATATTTCTATCTTCTTTTTTTTTTGTGCCTTGGCATTGACAACCACATGTACTCGCAGGGATCAGGCAGGGTTCTTGCTTTGAATTTTAATGTCTGATCGTTTGTTTTTAAAGCAGAAAATCTAGAGATTCACTTGGACCATTATATGTACATTAATATAATGTCAGAACAAGTTTTGTTGGACAGGAATAGTTTGGAAATAAAAGAAATCCATAATGTTTCCATAAACAATTGATTTTTTTTCCCTAAAGGTTGGACATTTAAAATTATGCTCTGAGAATCGATAGGAAATGTAGTACTGAATAACCATTTTGAGAAACTTTTTTTTTTCAACTTAGAGGGAAATTTAGCATCAGCTCATTTCTTTGGGGAAAAAAATTACAATTGTCACAAAAAAGCAAGGTTAACCTATTACCAGTTTATTTGGGGTCCAAAATGTGAAAAGGTTAACCCATTGCCAGAAAGACATATTTTCATCCTCGGAATGCATTTCATGTTAACAGGCTTTTTCAAGCAATATTGAGAAAAATTAAAAATTGGCAAAATTTGACATCAAATGTAAAGCTTACCCCTTGTGATATTTAAAACTGAAAATGTGATTTAACTTAAGTTTTATGACAGGCATCTTTCAGATCTTGGAACTCATAACGGTGTACTTGTATAAATATTCACTTTGCTGCCATTTTGTGAAAAGTAAAAATTTGGCTCAAATTCAATTACAATGCAATTTTAATGCAAAAATTTTTAATCTGATTTTCCTGTTTATTCCTGTTGGAACTTAGCACATGACATTTTACATTCATTTTTAAATACAATTTTGAGAAAACTAAAAAATTGGCCAAATTTTAATTGAAATGCAAGGCTAACCCCTTGCGATTTTAATTTATTTGACCACAGAAATTTTTAATGCCATTCTTCGTTAAACTCCATAAGAGACACATTTTAGTCATTGGATAAAAGCATGGGCATTTACATTCACTTGGATATTTGGTACATTTTTAAGAAAGTTAAAATTTGGCCAAAATTTAATTAAAATGCAAGACTTACGCCTTGCAATTTTGTTTAATTTAAAATGCGATTCTACATTACACTCGAATGAGAGATGTCTTTTAGTCATTTGAAAATAGCACCAGACATTTACTTTCAATTTCGTGCACTTAGAAGGAAACTTAAAATCAAAACCAAAATTTAACTACAAGGCTTACCCCTTGCGAGTTCACTTTATTTCAACCCACAAATTTGAAATGTGATTCTGCTTAAAATTCACCTAAATTATGTGTTTGAGACCTGGAACCATGGAACAGGTAATTTACACCCATTTTCCTGCACACTCACCGAACAGCAGTCTTCTAGTGAAAAATTTCCCCAAATTTAATTAAAATACAAGGCAATTTTATCTGATTCTGGAACATATGTTTCAAGTGAGATTCTATTACATTCTGGAGTAGAAGTCTTTTAGTCAATGGAACATAATGTAACACACAAGACATTTACATTCAATTTAAGTTAAGAAATTTAAAATTCACGTAAATGTAATTAAAATGTACACAGGGTTAACCCCTTGCCGTTTTAATTAAATTTTGGCCAATTTTTCGAAACTTTATATGGGCTGCTCGTAGATGCCTGTCTTGCTTGAAAAGTTCAAAATACAATTAAAATTTCTCTACTGAGTCCAACACCACATCCGCCATGTTCCATGGACACGGTACATGTACTGTAGTTCCCCAAATTATTTTTTTTTCCTTTGAACAACTACGTGTAATTTCAAATGTACACTCCGACATCAAAGACTCAAAAAATATAATTCTGTAAATTCAAATTTACCATTTGCCTGAATTTGAAGTGAAGCTGACTTCTTGATAATCAAAGAGTGAGGATATTAAATTTATTGAAATCCAACAACCACATTCTACATTCAAGACACACAGTACAATTGCTAACAAATTTAAACATGTACATATTGCAGGACAATATGGGCGACTCACAATAGTGCACTTCCAAGAGCTTGCAATGCATTCACCAATCACAGTATGCGAAATCTGTCGACCCAATGTGCGTTTGGAAAGGGTGGACAGATTTTGCGCACTGTGATTGGTCGAGGCGTTGCAGACTCTTGGAGGCGCACTATTGTGAATCGACCGTATTCCAGAAATTTCAGCGTACCCTGAACAAAAAACCAAATCAATGGAAAAAAAAAAGCAAATGAAAACATTACACTGCAGTGGAGTGCACCACAAAAACCAAACAATCTGAAAGGGATTTCCAAACATCTTGGATCAACTTTTCCTCAAGTGCAGGTCTCTTCCATCGAAGCACGGAATACTCCCACGTTTCCCGTGTCAAGTCAAAGCCCACCTTGGACAATCCAGGGTCATCTTTTCCATCCAACCATACTGACAACATTCTTTGGTTTCGTTCAGTTCATTTGGCTTCTTGCAGACTCCCAGACAAATTTTTACACTGCCAGTCACCCGTATACATAAACCGAAGGGCTGGGCGCATTCCCCTTGGTTTCCCCGGAGGAGTAACACTGATAAAGAAGGTCTGGCAGTTAAGATAGGATTTTTCAACTGCAAATGTGCCAACATCAATAAACTTAACTTTCTTGGATTGCAGAAAATCTGCTGTTAATATGGAGGACAAATTGAATCCTCGGGATCCTTTCTCAAATTTTGGGCAGGACAATCATGGAGTCAGACTTGTCCAACTGCAAATTACAAACCAGGAACAGAGAGACTGTCAAGTAAAAGAATCTAGCTTACCACCAAAGCTACTCCGCGATGAAGTTTCTAGATACATGTAGTTTAAAGCTCGCACAAAAAGATTCAAGTCTCCTCGGGACTTTCAACAAACTGTACAAATTCTTCAAGATTCAGAAGGAAAATATATATCATTTCAATTTTTTTGGTTCACATTTGCACCTTATCAAGTAACCGACATCTCTACACTCGTACAAACAATCTACAGGTATAAAAAATCTATTCCATATATACAAAAAGGAAAACGCCAATTGCTGTACCTGTGCTACCTGAAGATGAGGGCGAACAGGGCCAGCACCAAATTGGCCCCCAGGAGCAACGTGCCAAACAGCAGGATGAGGCTGTAGATGAGGTTGCGGTCGGCGGTGCTGGTGATGCGGCCGGCCAGCGTGTGCTCCAGGAAGGCCAGCAGGATGTACTGGCCGTCCAAGGCGTAACAGGGGATGGCGTTCAGGATGCCCAGAGCGCCGGAGAAGGAGATTAAATATCTGCGGCCCACAGGGTTAAGCAGAATGGCAGAACAAGGTGCCCCCCCAAGACTCTGTGGTCTTTGTCTTCCAACACTGATAATACAAGATCCCTACTACATTACGAGGTATCAGGAAAGTCTTGACAACCTTGTTATAAAGGTGTATGACTACAAGTACCCTTGGCTGAGGGAAATCAGTCCGACAGAGTCCTTGAGAGGATTTTTTTCGTCAGTTTCTGAAGGTTTAACTCCGACCCATCAAGTCTCCTCTTTGCTTCCGGCCAGATGGTACCAAAATCTATCCAGAACAGCTAAAAGGAGAACCCTGTCCAGTGTGACAAAAAATTTCAACAGCTGATTTTTGCGGCACCGTGATTGAACACAGAAATATGCCCCGCTACTCGTGTTGACTGCTAAATCTAACTGTACACGAGAGCATGTGATCCCAGCTCCATTTTGTCGTGGGGGAGAGACGGTCAACTCCCAGCTCTGAAGCAATATTTGGAGGTGTCACTTTTACTGCCCCTGAATTCAAGCAGGGAGCCAATTTGGGTCATTCGAGAACGATAAACATGTGGGAGTCGGCATACGGCCGTGCTGAAAGGGCAGACCTCCCATGCGAGCACATTTTGGCTCTCAAACAAACTAGGACCCGCTTCATTTGGGCATGTGCTTTTTCAAATACTGATCTGGCTCCTTGAAAGTAAACTGTAGAATAACAAGAAGATCTACGGCAATCCGCCCCAAGCTGAAGTGCACCCCCAATCGGTGACAGAAAGAGGTGGTTACAAGAGGGTTCTTACATGCTTCCTGCATGAACGCAAAGACCATACATGCCGCAATCAATTAGTTACGCGTACTCCGCGTGCTCTGCGTCAAACGTGCATATACTTGCATGCCTCATTGCGCGCCTATGTGGTGAGTACCAAAAACACACGCCCTCTTTGTTCCGCTCAGAGCGGATTCACAGCCTAGTGACAGTACACAGTGAAAGTAGTGCTAAAAAACGGAATTTAAAATTAAAAGTACAGAGATCCACTGATTTTTCAATATCATTACAATGCACTGCCATTACCACCTACACACAGACATGGCGGAGAGAATTCTGCATATTATACATGACTGGAATTCATGGGCTGGTCTTGGACAAAGGATACTTGCAGAAGAGTTCAATGATGTCTGGCAGGCTCAGAGGCAAGAAGGCATACGTGGGAATGTAGTTTGTCACACTCACTGTGCAAGAAGATAAACAAGAAAGGGACTATTCTCAACTCTCCGTATTTGAAACACTGAGGGCACCATTCCTTGGAACTGTGACCACCACAATGCAGAACAAAGCTCAATTGTTAACTTACTGAGTTCTGTTGGCATTTTGGTACAATTTGAATGTTTCTTAATAACACGGAAATGATGAAAGGGCTCTTTTAGTTCAGTGTTCATAAATAAACTGCCCTTACATTTATACAGAATGCTCAATTCAAATGACACGTATAATCAACTCAGGATGAGGACAATAAATCAGTGAAAGTTAATAATTAACTTGGAATAGTTTTTATCCCGTTTAGATTTTTTTTTTTAATGGGGCAACTTCTATAACCCTTGATTGAACCTCGCTTCAACGGAGGAGAATATTTAACAATCAGGAGACGCATCAATTTGCACGCTGTGACCTGATCTGTTAAATTTTTTGCGACACCTGTTCTCATTCCTGCATCAATTGAATGGTGTTTTATAGGACAGCTATTCAAATCTGCATCAGCTGACGCCAATTCCACGGCAAGATTGAAACCAGGTTTCCTTTAAGAAGTGGCCACAGAGTGGGTCTCAACTTTTGCCCTAGCTCTCAACGGGATTTTTTTCTGGGGAACTTTTCTGAACCTACAACGTACAATCCACCACTCTGTGAAGAAACAGATGATCTCTTTTGTACCGTGGGATATGAGTGGGACCTCAGGTCTGGAAGCAGAAATTAAACGAGCAGTGATCAGGCATTTCCCAACTTTTGATTTGCCACACAAGAAGGTCACAGGAGCAGTCACAAGGCTTCGACCTCAAATTCCCTCATTTTGAAAGTACTGTATCACAAACTATCGGCAACACACTACTCATGTTGCTATCATGAGGTGCCACCATTTTCAGCAAGATTCTTAAATCACAATGCCAAGTGGTTTGCATAGCCCCTTTTCTACGAACAGAACGGGTCACAAACTATGAAATAATCAACTTATAATCAACAAAAAGGGGGGGTCCAGAGGTGTGCGAGTCTATGCGTCCACTGAAGCACTTACAGGAATATCCAAAGAGGTAGGTATCGCCAACGTAGAGCACTGGTCTTCCCGTGGTGAGGTAGACGCGTAGCAGCCGACTGGAGTTGTCCAGGGAGGGCTGCAGGCAGGCCGTCTTGCGGGTCTGCACGCAGTCCGTGTTTTTGAAACAGCGTGGCAGGTCGGTCAGGGGCCGGGCCTCTAGGCAGGCATAATGCTACGCAAAGAAGTCAGGGCATTCGCACATTTTACAACTGCTTTCCAGTCCAACGAATCGCAAAATGTGTTTACACGCCGTGCGAAAGCAAATGATGAATGCTGTACACTTTCATTGAGACAGGCTACATGTGTATACACTGTATGTTCTTCCGAAGCTCTAACTGCAGACTGTGAACCAGTTTTCTTGGTGGACATGACAGCAAAGCTACAAATAACCTTTAAAGCACTTCAACCGTGGTAGGCATCTGCAGTACTACTAACCATGCTAACTGACCAAAAAATTGATTGTCACTTTATTTGTTAAAATCTTCTCATAAAGGCATCTAATCTCCAAATACAGATGTTGAAAGAGAAATGAAACAACAAAAACATATTTTGCTGTCCTTTTTTGAAGATGTGGCTCACTGATCAAAAAAGACAACTTTTAGAATGATTGCCAAAACATGCAAAACGAGGGTACACATGTACATGTATAACATGAAAAAATCAAATCTTATGGCCAACATCTGAGATAAAGGTGACCAAACTTAAAAGTCTCTTTCACTAAAGCATTGTCAATCCAACCTTCTGTGGCGCTCCGACCTCTGACCCCATCTCGTAGACAAAGCACAGCTCCGAGACACTGTCATTACGACAACACTCCATCTGGCCGCCATAACCCTTATACACTACAAAGACCAAGGAAACGAGGAGGGCAAAACTGTCAAACCTTCCCTTCCAGAGGTCAGGGCCTACCTTTCAAAACCCACTAAATCCCTCCAAAATCCATAGTGAATTTCCAAGAATCAGAGAAGCTTCAGTGAACTACAAGAGAATACATGTACACTACAGTAAAGACCAATTTCTTGGAGCCAAATTCTCTTGAATTTATTTCTTTTTATTTTTCCAATCCTTTCATGCCAAGATTCCGGTAATCACAAAGTAATTCAGTGGATCCTAGCATCCTTGTTAAAATGAAAGCCCCCCAGTACATGTATAACTGTATTGAATTCTATTTTCATATTTTTAATGTCACTATCCCTTCATCTTTTCCTCAGTATCTGCAAGAGTTCGATCACCTATCGACATTCCTGACCGTGTTTTTGGTTTTGATGCAACATATTTTCACTTTCTGGTTTTTGTTTTTGAATGTGTTGGTTTACCGTCGACAGGTATATAACCCTTCTTTCACTTTCTTTTTCATTTTAATCAATATAAATGTAAGAAATACTGTGATCCATTTATCGCAATAATATAGATTGACGTGAACCCCCCCCCCCAGAAAAAGAGGAAAAGTTCTCACATGGTACGTCTTTTGTTTGCTGCTGTACTTTGTTGAGTTGAACGCAGAATCCCGGCTGGGGGTAGTACACCGCTGATGCCAGACACCGACTCCAGTCGTCAGTGTTGTAAACCGGACAGCCGTTGATGCTGGTCACATGACTACCAACGGACAATCCCCTATGGCCTGATACAGGCGAATTCTGCAAAAAAAAATTCAAGTTACAGAGTACGTCAATATGATATCAGAATAAATTTGAATTTTGGATTTCTTACCCTGCCCGACGTGTATTTCAACACTGTATACTCGGTGTATGCCCCCCGAAGACTAGTGAAAAAAAAAACAAACCCAAAACACAAGCTTTTGGGGGCATACACTGAGTATACAGTGTTAAAATACATGTCGGACAGGGCAAAAAATCCAAAATTAATTTACAACTCCCCGGCTTAAATCCATCCTTGAAATAGAATAAATTTTGTTTATTGTTTCTAAGACCGTGCTACAGTGACAGCACAGACATAAAGGTCCGTTTCATTATACGTTAGTACACGATCTTATCATCACATGTGCCTAAAATTGTACCAAGTGGCAAAATTCAGAAGTATAACCCCAACTTCCTTTTTCCATTCTGTGCAGGAATCTTTCCAAATCCTCTCACAGTCGGGAAATCAACAGCCCATCCTACTTGGACTATAGAGGGTTTGCATGGCTGCCATCTTGTAGGCCAGTACTTTTGTTCCACAGGGTATGCACAAAGGAGGTTTCCCTGTGGAGCAAAGGAATTGCCCTGCAAGATGGCTACCGGTACCACGCAAAGCCTCCATACCCATTCAGACAAGCTTAAAGCAACAGAAGCATGGCTGAATTATTGTCAATCTTCCTGATGGGATTTGGAAGGATCTGGGATGGTCTGAGTTGCACGTAGGCCATATTTTGTACAAAGGATCCAATTGAGGAGCCCCATTCTAGAAACACAAGCTGAACTGTGTGGGGGTTGAATCGGCATATCAAGTGACTTGATTTCAATTAAAAACCTGATTACCATAAAATATACTTCAAGGTACCGTAAATCAAATTTCACTGTTCTGAATGGGCACTTTTGATGCAACTGTAAACCACAGACTGGACAACGTAGACGTCCACAAGGGACAGTGAAAATGCATTTGTGCAAATTAATATCAGGCTAAATCATTAATGTGTCCCACACATTCACACTACTTGAAGTTGGCCTGCACTTCATCATCCGTCAATACAAAAGTACAATAGACCCTTGTAGTATTTGACACCGAACTGTTTGCCTGTGTGCTTTCTTACGGTACCCAGTGGAGTGTAGGCCCCTGCTAGCTCCTTAGGAAAGTGTACTTATGAAGTCTGACCGTGCCATCAGTACACAGATCTACTGGATTTTTCATACAAACCTTTAGAACATCAGTGACAATAATCCCGGTCCCAGTCATGTACAGGGGACTCAGCAGATAAGGCAGGGCGTAAAACACGACGATCCCTAGCAGGACCAGCACCAGGTTGTGCCAGATGCCCGCGCAGTAGATCCGGAGCTGTCGGGCGGCCGAGATGGCCTGCAGGTGGTCCGTGTGCAGATCCACGAAGGCCCCCGGGTACATGGCCATGACGAACATGCCAAAGCCATTGACTCGCACCTGTTCTCTGCAGAGGAACGCAACGGGCGACATCCCACAAGACAGAATGAGTTCAGAGTCACCTAAGCCACTTTTTTGAGTTTTTGAGTTACGGGAATTTCAAAGATTCTTGCACTTCTGCATGCTTCACCCACACAATGTCCCTTTTCAGCACCACGCCGATCTGAGCTCTACATTAAAACAGCGAGTTCAATCTGCTCTTTCTATAAAAACAGAATAACTGGAAAAAGGGCCTTGTAGGATGCGGTCATACATTGTACATGTGTCTGGCTGTGTTAAAACTACTTCATAATTGCCACTACTTGCGTTAAGTAGAAACTGTATACCTGGAATCATATGGGTACCCCCTTACCCAAACCCTAGAGACACTCTACACTATTGTTACCTAACACATCTGCCCTAGATGTCTGTAAAGAATTCCTGATATTCCAATAAAACAATAACTAACACAAAAGGGCAGGGGGTTCTCTCCGTCCCATATCTTGCCTTAAATGGGAAACTGACTGGTGAGCCACTAGCTAGTGTCGTTCACTGGTGCATTTACAGTGTGCGTACGGGTACATCATTCTTGCAGACACAGCCAAGCCAAGAAACAGAGCGGCTCCCCTCTTTCAAGGAGTTCAACGAGAAGCAAGTGATCTGGTTGTAGAACAGTGCAAGATCACGGGCACCCTAATGAACATCTCTCACCCCAGCTGGATTGATACTTACCTGACGGCTGCAATGGCGTGGCCCAGCTCATGCCAGACTCCACTAACAAATAACACGGTGAAGAAGTAGGTGATCTGTCTTAGAGGAAGGTTTACACCGGGCATCTGTAGGACAGAGACAAGAACAAATACATGCCAGATGTTTTGACTTTTTTACCATATAAAACTTATTTTTCACTGCCAAGATCTTTGCTGTTCCATGCCCAATCTTATTGAAAGTTGATATGCAGGCAACTACATTCACTATCAACCCAACAAGTTTATTTTAATGAAGATAAGTAGTTCAGCACATGGGGGAACATGTTAAAAAATAGGGTTAACTTGGTGATATGACAATCTAACACTGCGCTAGTCTGGTATCAAATTTTGTAGGAGGTTTCAAATCAAATTGTTAAAAGTTTTTCCTGTTATAAATGGTCATCTATAGCTCATATTCTCATATTCTGGCCCAGATATGGAACCCATGCAGATACAAAAAGTGAACAGTTCTGGCCTGCTGGTGCCTTTCTGGGGAAACTCGCAAGTACGTCCAATTCTCATGAAACTGTGTCTTAAAATTCTCGTAAGACACCAACAGAAAAACTCCTGGTTGCTTGTCTCTCTACCAACTTTACCAGCAGCAACCTACCACAGGCGTCAAGACTTGTTCTGGCGACTCTTTCGTCGACGCCTGCACTAGCGTGGAGACCAGCAGCCCAACGGAGGCAAACATCATCAGGATGCCCATGAATGCTCCCATGCGGAACCAGGCTTGGGTGAAGCGGGGCTTCCACTGACCGATGCGCAGGAAGAGGCGATTGAAACAGGTGGTGTACCATCGCACCTGGCCAATGGACACTTGTATGCCGTAGCGCTCCTGGGCTTCGGCATATCGCTGTCCGCATCTTCTATTGGACTACAGGGAGGTGAAGAAAAACCAAACGTAACCAAACACCAGTAAATAACTGGTGTTTATAGCACTGCACCAATGTTTTGAAATGCTTCACAACTGGAATGATTCCATCACACCAAGCACGCAACCGTATGGAAAGTATGGCAACAGTACACCGGCCACTGAGTAAACCACAAAGGGTTTGTGCACAGGGTGTCAAGCTGCTTCACATAGAACTATTTCAACAAGCGCAAATAGATCAGCCAGAGGCCGTTGTAGCCAGCCATGTGATTGCATGGATAAGGAGCAATGCAAATCTCTGCACAAATGCATGCAAGACGTTGAAGAAGAACATGTTCAACGTGGTAACTAGTCAAATGTGACTCCGTAGCCACAGGTATGTACATGTACAAACATGACAAGTACATGTATGGGTGCGTAAGTGGCAGGGTATTTGGCAATTGTGCCACCAGTCCAGTGCACCACACTAACATCAGTCCACTTGAAAATTGTTAGGCTAAAGGGTGATGTACATGGCTGAATCCCAACATATATGCAGGACCCGCTTGGCAAAAAAACAAAAAAAACAAAGGACATTAGGGGCCTAAGGGCTGGTTCATGCCCGCTGCGTTTGCACACAGGCAGCGTGCAACGTGAACGCTGCATTTACGTTCACACTTTGTTATCTTTTCTCATGTCTCAGCTGTGTGTACGTATCCGACAAATGTTACAAAATTTCAATTTGTCCGAATACGCATAGGTTTGGTGCGTACGCACTACTGTTTTCAGAAACTGTGTACAAGGGCGCACATTTTCATTACGCACTGTGCTTTCCTTCACGCACTGCAGACACCTCAAAATAGACCTTCACACTGCGTACACAGTAAATACACAGCAAGTAGGAACCGGTCTTAATGTTACCACACTCTCAATCTGTTTGGCAGTCCGTTTTTCATGTTTTTTCCACTTAATTTTTACAACATTTTCATCTTGTGGCAGTACAAATTTGGGGCTTAAACACGAACTGAAACTATCATGTTAACTATATTCATGATATTTAGGGCCTACCATGAAAATTCTAGTCAAAAATATAACTAGGGCCAGTAGGGGTTTAATCAGCACGGCCAGATGCTGATTTGCTGCTACTGCCAGTGAAGTTTTCCTTCCTGCGTGCTCAGGGCATAACGTGTACGTTATGCCTGGTGTTACTGATCTTTGCAAGTTTATTCACGACTTAACATGCTTAATTTGTGAATTACCTTGATGAATGTATCCGCCAAATACAGAGATGACCAAAATCCCAGAAGAAGGGCTATCCATGTTCGAAACATGATTCAAAACGGTTCTTTTTGTTTGAGGCTTCCCGCTAGCACTGTAGCAGACATGACAGGCCCGGCGCACACACGGACTGAAAAGTACTGGCCAAGCTGCGTATACAGCCGGTGGATAGTCTTGACTGTGTGGGCTGGACCATGGACAGACGCGGATGTCATACAAAATTTCACCTTTCAGAACAACCAACGGAGTCAAAATCTGACCACCTTATCTTTGTCACTGCTCTATAACTTCCAACACAAATAAAGAAATTAAATATAAATTCCCGTCATTTTGACGACATTTTTTATCACCAATAGAAAGCTTGGCCAACATTATAATACGGAAAACAGACGCGACGAGCACATGTACGTTAAGCGCAGTCAAAGTGCGTCATTAATAAACATGACTTCCGCGTTGATCAACAAAACACAGTCCGATATTCACTTCAGGTTCTGGACAAAATGTCAATTATTCAGTACAAATGAAAGAAAAATTAGGTTTGATAACCACAGAGGATGTGAAAGAACAACCGGCCGATACAAGGCACACTAATAACTGATGTAGCGGAAGGATACACGACAAAGGGGAATAGAGATCAGCGATATCAACTTGCTGAGTTCAAAGTTCACATAAAGACGTCATTGTTATTTATAAACAAACCGCGGTTGATTAATGATTAAATTACGGCTTTTTCGTAAAGACCAAGTAAAACGGGTTATTTAATCAACATCTCTGTAAATTAAACATTATTTAAACTTGATCTGGTTCACGGTTTGACTGACAGGAATTTTTTTCTGTTGAATGTTACCAGGTCATCTATTAAGATCAATGTTATGACAAGGCTTTCACAACAAAAACAAAATATCAAAACGTGCTACAGTACAGGCCTTTTGAAATATAACATTATGGATAGCATTCTCCATCCAAAATCCAGGAATAAATAATACACAGAAAATTCGGCAATAATATAGACAATCAAGCAAATGACAAAAAAAATCTTTCACCTAAAAAGCTTTTTTTATTTTTACAAAAAGCCACTTTACCCTCAACAATTCATGAAAAAGTACACTGGAAAATTTGACAAAATATACACCCGATAGCTATATTTCTTCCTGTACAAATATATGGAAAGTGTATCTAGTTCCAAAGATAGAAACCCTTTATGGAATGGTACTGTACAGTATTTGACTTGCATATGCTGGAGATATTTCCAAATATGTGCATCTTTTTTATACACAGATTTGCAATGCATAACGTTAAATTGACAATAAAGATTTATACTATATTGAAAATTGATCAATACATGGCATATTCACAAGAGGTGCATGTATATTAGTTTTTCAAATAATGTCTGGTATTCAGTACGTGTTTCGTTTCATAACCTCAACAACTATGTATTCCAATAAAGCGCTCAAATCGAAAGCAACTTTCTTGGGGCGAGTGTCTCCTGAAATAGAACAGAAAGTTCTGAAGTTGACGTCAACAGCATACAAATGCACATTTTATCTTAAACACATGATAAATGCACAGTGAACAAACAGACCAGATGATATATTCTGTATAGTACTCGTAAGTATTAATACTATAGAAATTTATAAATGTTATCACCGCTGTCATGATATAATTCACCCTTCCACTCCGTCAAGACAGTTTTCAGCTTGACAACAGTGCCACTTCTGTGGCTGTTCATTCTGAATATAATGCCTAATTCCACCACACATTTGTCCGTCAATTCAGGATGGAAAACCCGACTATTTTACACACTGATGACTGCTGTTTTCTTTTTGTTTTCAGAAAAAGTGTAGTAATACAAGTACAGATTTGTAGAGATAAATTAATAAGAAGGGACATCCCCAGTCAGAAACATCAGCAAAACCTGTTGGGTTTTTTTGGGGGGGGTCCTCTTCCAACTTCTTTAGGACCTTAGAGTGGATAAAGGACAACCCAAATTGTCCAACTCTATTATAATCCTACTTTTCATTGTGCCCTTGAGATAAAGACAAGTACAATACACATGTAAATGGACTCAAGTTGTTTTTTTTAAAATACAAGTATGAAATCTGTGGCAAATACTGGCTTGACGAGAGGCACTTTATTCTACATATTAAACATTATCTACATTCAGAGTCTACATGTTACACCACTGTTAATACTTACTTGAATAAATAAATAACTGGAAATTTTCTTAGACAATAGGCACAAAATGCGCAGATAAATATTACAACTCTTTCATATCTTACAGCTGTATGTTTTTCTGCATGTACAAGTACACAGGAAGACACTTTAAAATGGACAACACAACTATAAACAATTGGTCTGGCCGGAAATAATTAGCACAATCAACAATACAATAAATAAACGTCATGCCTGAAATGACTTTTAAATCAAATCCCATGTGATAGAATTGATAGTAGACTGGCACCAATTATGTTTTCTTGTACTTGAACATTTGAGGGGCATTTAGTTCGATGTGATTTAAAAACAGTTGGACTGTACCTTTCTGCAAATGGTACCTTTTTATTCTTCATTCTATAAAATCCCTCAAAAGCTCGAGGTGGAATAAGGGACTTGCAAGAAAGGGCCAACCAGGGGGTGGAGGGGGGGCATAAGTGCCCCATCCCCCCCAAAAAGGAGCCAAAATTCATTTCCCTTCCTTCAAAAATGTATAGAAAACTGCAAAAGATATAGCCTTACCCCTTAGAAAGGCTGTGAAAGGTTAAATGGAAAAATTCCCACCTTTTGCACACACCCCTCCCCCTGAAAATTTGGTTCTGGATCCGTACTTGCTTGGAAGGGTAAGGGGTGATAGGGTGGAGGGGTATATTGGTGGTTTAGAGGCGGTGACCAAGACACCAGCAGTTGCTGAAGAATACAACACGGTGGACCTCATCCCACGGTGGAATATAATCTGTCATTTCATGCAAAGACACCCGGAGAGAGCAACGTCTGACGAGCCATAATCAATTAGGTATGCACACTTTGAGTAAAGAAAACTCAGGCTCGCATTGTGTTCAGTTTTGTTCTTTGCAGAACTCTACAGGTTATCAACCTTTACCCGTAGAGTGAGTCAAATAGCCGCAGACGGATGAAAAAAACCCTTCAAAATATATTCCAAGAATACTTGCAAGACAGTTTCCCTTTAGAAGACATCAAGGCTGTCTTGATATTTTTTCTTTGGCCTAAGTGTATGAATTGAGTTGGAAGTTACCAGAGCAACCATACTGTTTTCGATGGAAGTAAGTAAGTAAATAGAAACTGACAACTTCTCTTCCCTTGTACAACCCCAATCTACTGGGATACTGAACTTATGCGATACAATATATATCAAAGTGCAGCTTCAAGTACGTGTGGTCTGTCTTTAACCACTTCGGGCCGGGGGCATTTATAAATGTTGATTCTGCTGGGCCGGAGTATTTTTCATTTTGGTCTGTTTTCAAAAATCTTTAAAAACTCATATCTTCATTTACTGGACACTTACACCAACACGAATGACTGTCTGGTTCTACTCTAATCTGACAGTCAACATGTACTGACGCCGGAGTATTTCAGCCAGGCCTGCCGCGTAGTAAAAAGATCCCAGATTGTGCAGTGTTACGTAATTTTCTTTTGTTCCGGAATCTGGCACAGTGCGTTGCTGACCTCTTCTCAATAGGGGCCAGATTAGCATGCAGCGATACTGTGGCTCATCGCTGCGGCGGAGTGCTTTTGTCCCCGGTGGTAATCCGCTCGCACTGAATGCCACAAACAGCGGTATACTGTCTCAAAAAACGTCTGCTGTCCTGACGACGGACAGAGCACGCTATCCGAAACGTTGAGTACGTTCCGGATCGTTTCAGAACCACGCACACTTACAAAAGAGATATTTATGCAGGATGCTACGGCAAACCTTTCTTTTAGTCAGCCGGGTGGATTGACCATGTGCAAGGTGCTGTGAAGTGTTGCTAATCAGTCAATGGAAATTATAAATAAAAGCATCTGGTGGGGACACTGTACAACAACTTATCACGGCAAACTTTTGAAATGTGGCTTGAAGTCTTCCGGACGGCTTGGTCTTCATTACTGGGTGATGCACTCGTTGCCTACATCCTCGGCGTATTTGTTGGACACTAAGCTTCGCAGCCGGTCGATCTCGGCCCGCAGGTCCTTGACCTGCTTCAGCTTGGCGTGCAGCGTGTCCGAGCCGAGGGGGTCGCCTTCGGCACCTTCGGGCTCTTGGCTGCTTACACTGGGAGCTGGTGGAAGGAGAGGGAATGATTTGGAAATCTTTAGGAATGGATTTGGATTTCAGTGTCTATAGTCGCAGGCATGGCAGCCCAAAAAATGCTAGACCAATCTTGATCTGAAAAACTGCTTTTTGAATTTCAGACATAATTGCTCCTTCAGTAAATCCAATCAATCAAATAAATGAACTGCAATGATATGTTTGCTATTTTAAGGGCAAAATAAATTGGTCTATCAAATGCAGCTACAATCTTCAAGTTTTTACAGTTTCAGTGGTAAATTTCAATGCATGAAACCAAAAAAAAGTGGGTCTGAAATCGAAAGTTACAAGATACGCAACTAGAAACATCACAAACAAGGAAATTTCAAGCTGTGCTATGTTTTCCTGTCTGTTTCAAATCTGAATGGCATGACCAAGAAGTGAAAATCAGAGAAATTAGCTGAATCAGGAAAACTACAGGTCTGAGATACAACTGTACATACATCTAACTTTGAATACGGATTCAGCGGCAACTGAAGTAAGCATGTCTTACATTCTGCTGGTTTTCAGAAATTCTTCTTGTAACTCAGGAAACAGTTCAGTTTAACAATGGACTGTGCATAAAATGCTCATTTCACAACAAATCTCAGTTAAATCTCAAATCTCGGTGCTTTCGGGACCCCAAAATATTCAAAACCCACTTGCATGACTTGAGATTCCTGGTGAGTGTACAGATACACTCGGTCTATTGACCTTGAGAAACCCCCCCTCTCTCTCACAGCTACCCAACGACACCCCTGGGCAGAGAGAATTTACATTCCCGGGAGGAAAGAGACAAGTGGAGTTGAGTGAATTGCCCAAAGTGACAACATGTAGCCAACTGCTGGATTCGAACCCCAGGCTCTTTGATTGGGAGTTGAGAGATCTAACCGACGAGGCCACATGCCCACTGGGTAGAAGGAAGCTAAGTAATCAAAATGAGGTAGTGGTCTTACTCCTAAAGCGTAGCAGCACGGACACGTTGGGCTCCTGCCCCTCGGCCGTCTGGGTGCAGACCTGGATCAGGCCGTGCAGCTCGGCCACGCACTCTCCCAGCTCCTCCACCAGGCGGCGGCTGGCCTGCACCACATCCGAGGAGGCCATCCGCTCCAGGGCCTGGTTGCGCTCCTGGACGTCCAGGTTGTGCTCGTACAGCTCCTGGCTCTGCTTGGCCAGCTGGGGGGGGGGGGGAAGGGGGGGAAGAGGGACGGAAGAACGGAAACAGAGATGAAGATTTCATCGCTGAGGATGGGGCTTTGTGTTTAATTCCATGAAGGCTTAATAAAGTCACGGAGCACCGTTTTGATTTAGTGGTAAAGGTTTAGCCACTTCGCAAAAACTACATGTACTGGTACATCTGCACTGGAATAAGTTTCGTAATACCCATGTAGGTTCAAAACAGCCTTGAAGCTGACGCAATCGTAAGACCAGACACAAGCAACGGGGTGAACAATGAGAAAGATATGCTTTTTGTTGCAAATCATTTGAAATCCCACTGGAGGTCTTGTGATGGTCTTAAGGGGTTCTGACTAGTTCACAACAAATAAAGTGAAGCATTGGCTCCAATCGGGTCAGATCCTGACTGTGCATGTATGCAAACCACAACACCTTAGTGCAGACCAAAATGTAGAACATAAGCGGGCCATTTGAGTCTTTCCGTTGAGAAAACTTCACGAGAACAATGTTTTAAAGGCAACTGAGAAGGTGACCTGAGACTGCCCAAACACGCTACCCCACTTCCAGCTCATGTTGTTGTGGCTATTCATTGTTGTGTTTCTTATTGTTATCTTTGAAATGGAAACCAAGCCAGACAAGATAACTCCACAGGATGTTGGCAACTTTTGCTGGGTAGGGTTTCAGATAAAATTTCGGCTGAGTCACTGGGCAAAGGATACTTTTGGTAGCATTGACTTACTGCTGTCATTGAATCCTTCATCTTTCGGAGGTCAGCATCCTTGGATCGGTTAGTCTCCCTCAGGGCTGTGATGGTGTCCTCTTCTTGTTGTAGTCTCTCCTCCAGCACAACCAGGTCTTTTTGGTGTTGTGACTGCTGAATCTTGAGCTGTTTGTGTTTACTTTCAACCATCTGCAGGAAACAAAACGTCTGGTGTAAGACTGAAGCGATTTAAAAAAAAATAAATATTAATCTTTAATTGAGAATACTTTCATAAAACAAGAGTGGAGACACCTTTCAAGGCAGACCGAAGACCTGGTCCTCATTAATCTGAGGACAAGTAACTCTGTGAAAGTTTCTGATATTGCACTGATGCTACATGTAGCAACAGATCCACTTGTTTTTAAGTTCAGTTCTCACTTACACTTACTGTGAAACGTGGTACCTACTAGTGCACGTGAATATTTGCATTAGGTCACCCTCTGTAAACAGTTGTGAGGAGAGCAACAGGTGGGCTCCTCTCTGACTCTCTGTATGAATTGAATCATAAATTCCGCAGACCCCCGGTGGGATTCAAATGTTAACAAGACTGAGCCACCCTTGCCTTCCTAAACTTCTCAGCTTCTGCCCTGGCCTCGTCTCGCTCCCGGACCAGTTCCTCCATGGCCGTCCGGCTGAACAGCTTCAGGCTGGTGGGGTCGGTATCCTTGGGGGCCCCAAGGGCAGACTGCAGACGACTGGCTTCACTTCTCAGACTGTTAGTAAATTTAAAATATACAAGCACTTTTCTTGAGTTTGTTCTGACAAAGGATCTCATTTTGTTACCCGATATCTACATCATCTGGTAGAATGTTTCCATGAGAGATGCTTATAAGTTCACTGAGTTGGCGTAAACATCCTCAGCAAACGATGGCATACCTTTCCAGCTCAATCTTCAGGTCTGCCTCCCTGCTTTCCAGTTGGCTGACGGTAATGTCTCGGTTGCGGACAGTGTTCCTGGACTCGGCCAAGGAGGTCTCCAGCTGGGAGATGCGCTCCTTGAGCAGTTTCTCCTTCTCGCACAGGTTCTTGATGTGCAGAGCACAGTTAAGGGAAGATAGGGTACGATGACGACACATACAAAGGTGTGTAATGTTCAGCTTCGTAGAAGTACAAGTGTTACTTCCATTCCTCAAAACAAATCTACGCAAATAATTTAATCCATCTGGTCCGAGGGGGATATGTTTGTGTTGCTTTGACTTTATTGCTTAGTCCTCCCAAAATTCTTAGCATGAAGCATAAAATCACTGCACAATGTGCCAATGACCACGGACAAGACACTCTTGCTTTCCTCTGTAGTGACAGACCTGAGCGATCTGATTGTACACAATGACTGACCCTTCACGGATTTTCTAAACAGTGACTAGTACAGTGACAAGGGCAAAGTGTCATCTCAAGCGTGGAAAAGAGTTTAAGATCACAGGAGCACTTTTATCACCATCCATCCCCGTACAAGATCATTCTTGGGCCAAGTCACGACACATTTGTACGTATCCTGAGGAACATTAAGCAAACCACTCATACACCACTCCAAAAGGATATGACTTCTGTGTTCTTGAGGTGCTGCTCGGCTGTGGGCAGGTCCCCCATGTATCTCTCCAGGCTGCTGACTCGTCTCTTGAGTTTGTCGTATTTCTCCTTCATGCGACTGTACTTGACTTTGGTCTCCTCACCGCTCTCTTCCTTTTGGTTCATCTGCAACGCGGAAAGATGTCCGAGGAAAAGATGAGAGATCGTAATGGCCAAGGTGAATTAGAAATTGCAAGCGGCCGTCAAAGGGATTCACAAGCATCGGTGAGGCATTTAATTTGATTGTCAAATTATCCCCAGCAAATATGGTTGTCTTTCTGGGTGATTGTTTTCAAGGTAATCAAAACTTATTCAGTTTGCAAAACACTTTGCAATTGCTCCTACCTTTTTCTCCAGGTCCTTCAATTCCCTGAGCTTTGACTCGTTAGCCTCTTTCAAGGCTTTCTTCAGCTTTTCGTGCTCATACTCAGTCTCCCTGTAAATGAGTCCGTAAATCATTCAAAATGGTTAAAAAATGCATTCCTGGAAACTGCGCGGAATGAAATAACCACACTTGTGCTCTCCGTGGAAACGCTTTCACACTGACTAACAGCTGGTCTGTGACATCTTAACTAGCTTCAGCAACAAACATAAACACATGGTCTGATAAAGTGTTCAAAAGAAACAGCTGTAACTTGATAAGAATTCTCGTTGGATAGTAATTAAAATCAATGTGTAACACAATATATTTGATATTAAACGTTACCTACATGTAGGTGAGCAGTAATGTTACTTGGCAACTTATGCATAATTCACGGTATGTCACACAGAATGGTGCACGGACTGAATAGCAATCTTTATCTACCGGTACCAAGATGGCAGACTCTGGAGTGGTGATGTCATCTGCAAACCAACTCACAGTGACCTGCAACACTTGTGCATGTAATGTTTGGAATACACCGGTAGTGTGCCTACCCAAGTTTCTTGTTCAGTTGTTCTATTTCCGCAACCTTGATGGAGGTGTGTTCCGCCAGCTGCGCTTTGAGAGATGCGTTTTCGTACTGGTATTCCTGTAATCCAAAACGTTTGATTTGATGGCATTACAATTTCAGTGACTGAGGGAGATAGGATTTCTAGGCTTTAACCACTTGCTGCCGGGGAGCCCGGTTTTGGGTACCTTGGGTTTGTACACATAGCTTGGGCGCCCGAAATTGGACAAAAGAGCTGGGCCTTGTAACAAAAGACGGTACTCGGGACAGAAGACTGAGTTGCTGGGAATTGCCAACAATTTTTCAGTCGTCAATAGCAGAGGAAATCCGTCATTGTTTTGAAAGATTATACCACTGTTTGTGGCATTCAGACGAGCGGATTATCACCGGGGACAAAAGCCCTCCAGCACTCCAGTGATAAGTGATACAATACCACTGCACTCTAATCTAGCCCATATTGAAAAGATGCCAGCACACTGTGCCAGTTTTGGGAATAAAAGAAAGTTATATAACACCACACAATCTGGGCTCTTTTTAAAAGGCAGCAGGCATGGCTGAAATACTCGAGCATCTGTTGTCTGTCAGATTAGAGTAGCCACCAGACAGTCACTCGATGGGGTTAGGCGTTCAGGAAAAAAGATATGACTTTTTGAAGATTTTTGAAAAACGAAGATATTGAAAATCGCCCATTTTAGACACTGCATTTTCAAAGGCACCTGGCAGCAAGTGGTTAAGCAAGTACAGTCAAACCTCATTAGTAAGACGTCCTTCAAAGTTTGCAGATTACACAACATTTGAAATGCTAGGACACAACCATTTTTGTGGGGGGGAAGGTTACTGTAAAAATGGTTTTCAAATCCCAAAACATACATGTATTTGTGACCCACTCTGTGAAAATGAGTTGCATGTCACCAGAGCCACTTTGAAGTTAAAAGCCTTTGAAAGAATCTTGCACAGTGTTTAAGCAATAGGAATCCTCAACAATTTAACATCTACACAACGCCCATTTTCATTGCACCAAACTCAGTGACACATCAAAGAAAGAGCTCATATTCCTCAATCTAATACAAAGTAACTAAAAGTAGCGCCAGAGACTTGTGACTCATTTTTACGGAGCGGGTCACATTTACATGTACATGTAGGTTTCAAGAATCAACATGATCAAGGACAAAAACATCTTCAAGCTAAGCACAGAATACATGCAGGAGAGTCCACAGGCTCTTGGCCATGCTGTAGCTTTGCAGGTACCTGTATTTTCATGAGAAGGAAATCTCCCTTGTCTTCATGCACTCTGGTGTACATGAACTGCCTCTCCTGGGCCTGCTTCTGTCTCAGCTGCTCCTGGGCGTGGGCTAGCTCCAACTTTTGCCTGCGAGTCCACGCAAACAGTGACAAGAATACAGATTCACTATCCAAAACTTGCATTTTTAAAGTGGGGAAAATGATACCCAAAACTTTTCCCATGTCTCATTCTCCGGCAGTGTTTGTAGGGAAGACAATGATCGAAGCGAGAATAAACTTTGATGATTGCTGCTTTGTACATGTACATTTACATTAATTTCCTTTCCAACCTTCACATAATCATGTATGTTTGACAAGGGGAAATAGAGAAATAACTTTTGTAAATAACTTCACTGCGCAGATTGTTGCAGTGTACCAGTTTCTACAGTTCTATGCTTTGTTCACTTTTGAGAAAATAGAATGTTTTCAAGCATCCACTTTAACAAGCACAAGTTTTTAAAACTACAATCAGAAATCCAAGTTCTCGGCACTCTCTGTGTTCAAAGGAATAAGATGATCTCGAGAGTAAAACAAAAAGTCAGGAAAAAACACTGTGTACATGTTTGTACCTCTCAATAATTAAGTTCTTTTCCTCCAGGAGATTTTCCTTGGCTCGGATGACACCCTCCAACTTGCCGAGATCCTGGCCAAACTGTGGACCGCCTGGCAGAGCTCCGAGGGTGGAAGAGTACGACCCGGAATAGGGATAGCTGGACTGTAAGCCCTGCAGGTGGATTGAAGTGGGTTTTACGCATACATGTTCATGTAGCTGAAATTTGTGCACATTCTGTTGAAAAATCTCCATCACTATTCAGAAACTTAGTGTAGGTATTGGCATTGAAAAAGTAGGTCCATGTAAAATGGGTGAGAGAAAATCTGAACATTTGTGTCAAACACGTTCTGGAAGGACTAACCCTAACCACGCTCAATCCAACACGATCTCATGAACTGTAACTGCATTTAGCGGTCAAGGGCCATTCATTTGTACGGACTCAAACTGGGATTTTCTTATGACAGAACAAGAGACATTGGCATTTTGTATCAAGTAACTTCTGCCAACATATACTAGTACATGTACCGCACCAATCCTAGTCTACTTTTATCAGTTATCATGTTCGAAACCGTTGCGACTTTGCATGAACATAAATTTGTGCACTATGCGACATACTGTATGTGACAGCTGCAACCGTTCCAATTGCTGCTGTATTTGCTGCTGCTGCTGAAGTTGCTGCTGCCAGTGCGTCAGGTCATGTGACTTCAAACCTGCTCCATATGTGGAGCCTAGTCCAGGCTTATCCAGGTAATCCATCGACGTCTTGCTGAGCAGGCCCATTCCTACGTGTAGGTCCCCTGCCGTCGTGTGGCTGGAGAAGGCACTGCCGCTGTACAAATCTGATTTCACCGGCGACCGCTTGTGGGGAATTCCCATTCCGTAGCTGCTCGGTGACAGACCGCCGTGCATGGCGGGCTTCGCATCACGGTGGAGGTTCTGGTCCGAGGACCATCTGTGCTTCAGGGGTTCCGCATCCGCCACAACGTGGGACTGGCTCAGAGTCGGGTCCAAGGGGATGAATTTGTCATCTGCCAGGGAATCATGGAGGTCATGGCCAGGGGGGAGACTGGCATAGTCCGAGTGGAACGGCCGGTGGGTTTTGATGTCCAGGCTCGACGGGGGGTTGTGTGAGCTCTTCCTGGGAGGGCTCTGCTCTGCCTTGGATGGGGTGACTTGGGCAACTGGGAGACTGCGGGCTTCATGTAGGGTGCTGGAAGAACCTATCCAATCGTAAAAAAACAGTTGTTTCTTATAAATTATGCATTTCGTAAGTACAGGTAGCTTTCAGTACACAGCTTTCTGTTGCAACTGAAGCGAAATAATTATGAAGTGAAATGCTCAATTTTCCCCGCAGAAACGGTGGGGAAAGCAATAAATCCACAAATTGAACAGTGGAAATGCACCGCTACTACACCATTCAAAGCCATGAAGGGGTAAAATTGTTAACTCATGTGATTATTTCCAAGTTCCAACTTCCAATTTGTTCTTAAGGGTACATGTAAGTCAGAGTTTCAATTAAAACAAAATGTCAGCTTTTTTTTTTTCAGAATTGCTTCGTTATTGAAATTGTGTCTTCAGGACTCACTCGGTGCAATGTACCAATACATGTACACTGTACCAGTGCACTGTACATGTAGGTGCTTCCTGGAATTAAGCAAATACAGCAATACCATACAATTACAAGTCCTGCGTGATGCAAACAAAAGTTCTGTTGCTGCAACCCTCACTGTACTTTCATTAAAGTTCTGCAACATGATCACGCAATAAATGACTCGAGGATGTGCGTGTACCGGGCATTCGACTGTCCGTGTAGAAACGATACCGGTGTCAAAAGTTCAGGCTGGATTCAATCCAAACAATGCCACATCATGACACATTCCTTATGAATACAAGTACCATCACCCCCCCTGACCACAGAATGACAGAAGTTTAACTACATTATACATGTACATGTACCTTGTACAGTACCGGTATATGTACCATGTACATGTACATATGTACACATCAGCAGTACATGTGCAGGTACACTGTATGTATACAGTTCAGGCAGGAAATGCAAGATTTGAACATGTACGTACATGTATGTACATGTCACAGAATTAAACACTTTACTACTGTTTAATTCTGTGTGGTTGGGGAAGGTTAGGGTTAAACAAATGCAACTTCACAAATGAAAGTGATACAAGTTGGCATACATTGTAGTTTCTTGTGCAGAGAGAATATACCGGGGTAAATACTCGGTACAAGGTTTTTAAAATTTGGCACATTTAAAAAAAAAAGTAACTTCTAGTAAGAAGATGACAGTGACACAAGTTTACAGAGTTTAGTGGGAAAATGTGAACATGAAATGTACCGGCACCTGACTCAAACACAAGAATGTCTGCTTTTTATGGTAAAATGTTTTAAAAACCATCTCTAAGGGAAAACCTCTTCATTAGAATTACGACCAAATACTTTCCACCGCCTGCATGTGCATGCATGCAGGACCTACATGTACATATCCCAGAATTCTAAGGTGATAAATGAAAATTATAACTTAGTTCAAAAAATTCTTTCCATGTTTGCTAGTCTTTTTATCCAGTCAAGCGGCTTGGCTGACTTCCATGTATTTCAATTTTTATAACTGTCTGCAGCCTCCAAATTTCTTTCCATGGTAAACATTCATTAAACCTATACAACTCCCTGGACAAAAACTTGTGCAGAACACCAACAGCATGGAATCTGTGCTTCAATTTTTAAATTAATGGCATTGTGCCCCATGTACATTACAGTAAAAGTGGTAGTGTACTTTCCATAATCTGGCAAAGTCATTCAAACCCTCCACTGAAATTCTAATGAATCTACAGGGTCAATGCTGAAAGCAGCCTACAGACAAACTTACATGTGCCATCGAGATCCAGACCAGAATCTAGGTAACTACAATTACTGTCAAAGTCACTGACTCCACTGCAGCAGCTCAGGGGCGACAGGCTACGCCCCAGGGAGCTCCCTGAGGAGTCCAGACCCTCCAGTCCAAAGCAGGATGGGTTTAGGTATTTCCGGGGGAGGGAACGCCCCTCTGAGGCGCTCCTGCAAGGGTAGAAATCCTCCATGTTTTTCCCACAAGTAAGGAGCCAGAAACTTTGAGAGAACAGTTTTGATGAGCCTACATGTACATGTATGTATAGACCTAGAATGTCGCTGGCTTTTTATTGCAGCAACTATGCAGCTGACACTGTAAGTTAACTTTTAACATCAAAACTGTAGCTCCAAACAAGAAATTCGGCTGTAAATCATTCCAGATGCCTTGCATGCATTTTAAGCAGGCGATGAAGTCACATTAGATTTTTTTTCAGTGTGTTTCCAGTAGGAATATGATGATCAACTGTGCTGTCTTCCATAAATTCACTGAAGCAGGAACACTCCCAGTATGGTAACCAGATGCAGGCGGCTCACTCATAAGCAGTGGAACAGTAAACAAATTATGCTGGCACTGGAAACTCTGTCAACTTACTGGCGCAGAATTCTTGTTCAGCCGGGAAAAGTGTTAGAACTGCTATCTGCTTGGTCCACATGGAAGTGTCAGTTGCAGAGTGACATGTCAGAGGCGAGTTTCATTTTTCAGTGATCAGTTTCACAGAAAAAGGAACTTGTCAGAAAAAAAGCGAGTCCGGTTGAACTGCAGACTGCACTGCTGACAAGCTGGCCACGTTACAATGTGCATCAACATGTACGTGTACAAGTCCTGCAACGTAGAACAGCACGTCAAATGGGGGGGGGGGTCGGACTGTGAACTGTGACAGGATTTCCTTCCTGAACTGCAGCAAGGCTAGAGGCCCAAGCCTGGCTGACTAATAGTCCGTGGGGGAAGCTGGATCATATGTGGGCTCAAAAGCTTAGCGGGAGGACCATCATATGGTCAAGCCATTAGCACTTGGTAAAATCCCCTGGATGACATTAAGATTAACCAGTGAGAAAGTTTAAAACAAACTGATGCTTCAAATCCTTCCTGGAAAAAAAAGGCTGCCCCTGCTGTAAGGGCAGGCCTGGATGTGAGTCCGTAGACAAACAAATGCAGATGAACATGTAACTTCTGCCTAAGAAGTTGTAAAGTCTTGTCCGCTGCATGGTAGACAAGAATTCATCACAGAAAGTCGCTGGATCCATTAAGTTCCCCCGGACAATACTTCACAAGATAGTGTACAGAGTGACACGGGTCAGTCAGTATCACTTTCTTGGTGAAACATTATATCCGCCGCAGCGGAGCCAAATTCCCATTTTGAGAGTCAGTTCCACAGTTCAAGTCTGCTACTTGTAGGAAGCAGAGCAGTGCAGAGAGATCTCCTCTCCCAAGTTCCCTTATTTAGAGTGAACGTTTGCCAGCAGGAGGTTGGATGAAGACAAAAGATGGACCCACTATCAGTGGTATCAACCGATCAGACATCTCTCACTGATAAATTGTGGGGGATTACAATGTAGTATGTATCTGGTGTGCTGATGCCGGTTGGTTTCCTAGACGCCCCGGGGCTCATCAATCATGCCACTTGTCTAAACAAATGAAGCCATCCTCCCTCCAAACGCACAAACACATTGCAAATGCTAACTTCATGTCAAATTAATATGCCGCTGATGAAAGGCATCAGACAGCCTGGGTGTGGTGCTGTCCAACAGCTGCGCATCTGCATACACCTGGCAACATGTACATGTATTTCACAGACAGGATCCAAGCACTAGTCACATCTGCCTATGGTAAATGCACATGTACACGTACCGGTACATACATGTACATGTACATGTACCAGTATGCATTATGCCATACATTTTTACTGATGTTCATGGTCTCGTCGCTCAACACTCCCACCCTGCGTGTATTCCCGGTTTCCGTCCCACTTCTGAGGAAAGCGAAATTCAAAACTCTGCTTTCTGTGTATCGGTAGACTGGCAGGATGCAAGAAATTTACATACATACATGTACATGGCATGCAGTTGTAGAAAGCACTATCACACTGACTGTAAGGCAATATGTGCATTAATAAACAGTGATAGAAAAGGATGGTATAAAATGAACGACATGAAACCAGCAGACTTGTGGGCACCGTTTATCCGCTTCAAGCGATTTGTTGATCTCTATTTATACACTGGGGCATTTCTTCTCTTCTACTTGCTTGACCAGGGTGTATCTTGTGACAGCTTTGAAACTTTGGTGATTACAACATGAGACGTTACCGAGGCTGATTGGGAAACCTGGCATACCGTTAATGTGTACGTACTTGATTCCAGCAAGAAAGTCAGGTCTCAAGTCCGCACTTACAGGTAGACAATGCCACATGGTGTACACAGTACACACAAGGCAAGTACACAAAACAGAGGCCACTCAAGTGCACACCTTTGAAAAGTGACATCTGATAGGTTTGTTCAGGCATGCCCTGTTTGTCCAGTGAAGGGGTCCTTTGTTGAAGACAAACTATCAGCTTACTGGGGGTAAGTGGTAATGACTTGAGGGGAACACACAGCTGGTAGGCTACAGAGTTTGAAAAGGTGTTGTTTACATGAGCACAAAATGAGGAACCCACTTGTACGAAGACTGGACAGTGCTTTGTAACCGATCTTGCACTGTAAATCACATCACTATGGTAATTGCTTCTTTTGACATGCACTCACAGTGACAAAGGTCTCAGGAGTCTCATTCTTATCAAATTACATGTACACATGAAGAAAAGGAAATGAATTAATCATGGCACTCTGACAGCAAAGTCTTATCAGACCCAACCTTCCTCCAGATACAAGCAGGAAAGAGGGACCAGTCCAAACCGCAATACCACAGAGTCCTACATGTACATGTACATGTACATCGTAAATGTATTCAAAAGTTTACTACCCTGGAAAAAACAATGTTAGTAAAATTAATCTGAATTCATTTCTTTTACTAAAACCATTCTGCAAAACAGTTGCATGCTTTTCTCACCCATGATTGCATACCACTCGACCAAGTGCACATTCAACGTATCACAGGCTATTTCCTCTACTATTCAAACAAAACCTCTGACTTGCGTGTACGTGTACTGCATATTTTCTCAAAACTGAAACTTGCAGGTGTATTAACTGACACAAATGCTGCCGTCAGATTTTCAAGGAAATTAATTAATTAAAATTAAAGTGTCCCATTCAGCATTAAAACAATGCATGCACTATAATCAACATGTACCGTACATGTACCAATGCAGGACATTAAGTCATAGATACATGTACATGTAAGACCTCCCCCTCAAAACAAAATCCAAAAAAGTCCAATTTTAAGTGAAAGGACCAATTTTTCTAGAGACATTTTCCACGGGTCAGAGTACAGTACATATATCAACAGCATTACCGGTAATTGTATCAGGCTGGGCAGTTCCATATGTATAATAACTGATGGGAAATTATTACTGGGTCTCACTGTGACATCATCGTTAGAAACGCCCATATACATCGTACATATGGTTCCGTTCAAAATTGATAAAAACATGGGCCAAGTGAACCACATCTTTTGAAGACAATTAGTCTACAGGTCTTGGGAAAATGTTACTCTTCTGTTTATGGCTTTATGGGACACAAACACATGAACAGGTAAATACATATACATGTCCATGCACTTACTGGTATTTCTGCAACCTACATGTACAGTAACAGCAAGCACTTTTACTGGTCATCATTTTAATTTTCTGATGTATCTGTACGTACATGTACCCTACATACATGTACATACATGTACATACAGTACTTATAGTACACGTAAAGTGTACACGTGCAAGTACATGCATACATGAACACAAGTATTGTTGATTGGGAGGGAACATTTAATTTCATTTGTTACAGAAGTAACATGTACTCTAGTACATTTATAAGCTGGGAATTGATGGAATCACTTGGAATTGACTGCACATAGTGAACTTTTCATAATCTGTCAATGGTAACAGCTGCTCTGATTAAGAAATCAATTGATCAATTATTGATGGAATTTTAGAATGTTGATGTACTGGAAGTGACTGTACGGTACCAGTAAAAGATTTCATCCACATGAGTCAGAAATGTAGGCCTACATGTACAAGTTCAACGACCACAGTAATAACCACAGTAATAACCTCACAAACACATACATGTACATGTACCTATAAAAGGCATCCCAACAGGAGTGACCACAGTGTGAGCCTGTGTTACAGTGGTGGCTTATTTAATAGGTGGCCTATATTAAATAGTGTTGATAGAACAAACGAAGTTGAAACCATGAAGTTGGAGAAAAACAAACAGAAAACACAATACAAGGAAACCAGATGCTGCACTGGGTAAGCGCATGTACATGTACATTTTTGTACTTGTAAAAGTACATGTGTACTACACATGTACATGTACATGCACCCACGTGACTTGTTTGGAATCTACACCAACGTCTGGGATTACTTGTAAAGGTTACAGTTAATGCTTGTCCGTACATGCAAAGTGAAACTTGTCAATGCAGTTATTAGCGTCATTATAAACGTGTTGACAGTACTTGATATTTATAAGAGAATAAAAATGACCGGTACACAAAGTGCAACTTGGAGCAAGTTCAGACAGTAATCATGGTTCATGGCGTGTCTTTTCTTTCCCAATGTACATGTACGTGTACATACATGTATGTACATGTACATACATGTATGTACATGTACGTACATATAAAGAAGAAAAGCTTCATGTTCATTGGTGGATCCTGGAAATGACTTTGGAAGTTTGGGGCTGAAGTCAATACATGTACATGTACCTTATAGGCAAGATTTTTGTTGTAAATTTGTTCCTATAGCCATGAAAGAATAGTCACCACTGAAACAAAGCCACATCCCACTCCCCTGGAGGAGGGATATGTTGAAACTTGAAAGTGTACTGATACCGAAGGGCCGAGTCAATTCAAATAATTTACGATTTGAATATTCGACCTTCAATTTGATCGAATATCCGAACATTCGGTCGTGCTGACCGGCACACTGTTGATGAACAAACCATACGTACAAAATCAGTTGCAATAGCACATGCAATTGTACATTATGATCAAAATAATCTAATCACATCTACATGTACATGTAGGTGTATGTCCAGCCAAAACTTAGCGAGATTTAAGAGATGAACAAGACTTCTTGTCCTGTTGAAAACGTCTATTCATTTTAAATTGTTTAATGAATACTTGACTTTTAAATGTTTTTTTCCTTTTAAAACAAAATAAAATTTTTCCCTCCCTTTTCATGAATTTTGCATTTGAATATTCAAATTTGAAAAACAATATTGGAATATTGGACAATCTATCGAATATTCGGTTATTCAGATATATTCGGCACAGCCCTATGATACCATACATATAGGTGTTAATGTACATGTACATGAAATGTTATTTCATGAAATAAATGAGTCATCATTCCATATCAATTTTGTTTACTATTTAAAATTAAGTTACTGTGTGCCAACATACGGTAAAGGGACTTAATGGAGGTTGGGCATGTGCCCAACTTGGGAAATGATGGCTTGGGCTGATGCCCATTTCAAGTTGTTTTGATTCTCACCATTCGTCAAAGTGTATGCCAATAAGGATGACACAATTTCCACGTTCCACGCACCCATGATTCATTTTTGCCACATAATGTACATGTTCATGCAAAGGTACATACATACATGTACAAATCTCTTTAATGGGTCAGGTGCATATTTTGAATAAATTCAGTGGC